GTCAGTGTTGGCCTCACAGGTCTCAGGCTTCACAAAATTTCTGTGTCTCACAAAAACAATATGATTTTCTTTGTAGAACATTTACTTCATCCTGTGCTGATCCTTGTTATGTTTGTAAAATGAAGCTCAACAACAAACATCACTTACTTGATGCTGACAAGTTGAAGGCTTCACTCCACTCTGTTGAAGAATATGAGTCATCTCTGCGTCGACTCTTACACGTGTAGTCTCCACTGCTGGACTCAGAAACTCTGAATATCCAGTAATTATTGTGAGTCCACTGTGTGGTCTGGTTGGCTCCTCTCCATCTATACTCCCACTCAGTGGTTTCACCTCCTTCCTGCAGCTCACATGTCAGACTGATCGTCTCACCGCTGAATATCTGAGGCCAGCTGGGTCGTCCTTTAACAACAACCTTATTGGAAACTGTTTACACATATTTACAGTTGAGATACAAACAAACATAAAATCAACAGAAATAATTTAATATTGAGTTGCTTGATAGTGACGAGTCAATGTACAGTAGTGTAAAAAGTGTCTTCCCCCTTCATGATTTCCTATGTCTTGTATTTTTGACTTAAATGTTTCAGATCATCCATCCATCCATTCGCTTCCGCTTATCCTTTTCAGGGTCGCGGGGGGCGCTGGAGCCTATCCCAGCTGTCATAGGGCGATCATCAGATCATCAAACAAATTTAAATGTTAAACATAGATAACAAAAGTAAACACAAATGCAGTTTCTAAATCTTTATCATTAAGTATAAAAAAAATCCAAACCTTGTGTGAAAAAGCGATCGCCACCTAAACCTAATAACTGGTTAGGGCGTCCTTGGCAGCAACAACCAGATTCAGTCATTCCAAACTCTTCATTTTGCTTTTCTTAACCCATTCAGAGGTGGACTTCAGTTCAATTTTATTTTATTCATACAGCACCAAATCACAATAACATTTGCCTCAAGGTGCTTTATATTGTAAGGTGAAGACTCTACAATAATACAAAGTAAACAGAGAAAACCCCAACAACCATATGACCCCCTATGAGCAACAGTAGGAAGGGAAAACATGCTGAGCCAGACAGCCAGAGATTACTGGTGTGATCTGGATCGTTGTCCTGCTGCAGAACCCAAGTGTGCTCCAACTTGAGGTCATGAACGCATGGCTGGACATTCTCCTTCATGATGTTTTTATAAACAGCAGAATTCATGGCTCCATTTACCAAAGCAAGTCTTTCAGGTCCTGGGGCAGCAAAACAGACCTGGACCATCCCACTAACACCACCGTAGTTTACTGTTGGTGTTCCATTGCTGAAATGCTGTGTTACTTTTAAGCCAAATGTAATAGGACACACACCTTCCAATTAGTTCAACTATTTTCTCAAAGTATTTTCCTAAAAGTCTTGGGGATCATTAAACTTTTTTCTGGCAAAACTGAGACGAGCCTTAATTTTCCTCTTTTTGTTGTTGTTGTCTCTGCCATGCAGGCCATTTCGGACTAGTCTCTCTCTTAGGGTGGAGACATGAACACTGACCTTAACTGAGGCAACTGAGGCCTGACAGACCGACCTTCAGCAGGTCTGGTAGTAATATCAAGGCAGTATATAAGGCCTTGATATGGGAGTGAAACTAAACTCAGCGTTGTAATAAAAAAATGTGGTTGATCACAGTTAATAATATTATTTAACAAGGTGGGGGCTTTTTCCACACACGGCCAGGTAGGCGTGGATTTTTCCTCCTTTAACTATAAAACCTTTCGATTAGAATCTTTATTTTCTGTTTACTTGTGTTATCTGTTTCTAATATTACACTAAACTTGATTTATGATCTGAAACATTTAAGTGTGACAAACATACAAAAAGTAGGAAATCTGGAGGGGGGCAAACGCTTGTTCACACCACTGCCCATTTCAAAGAAAACTTTTCAACTCACAGGTTATCTCAGTGGTGACATCATCACTTTTATCAGTGTAGTAAACTGGGTTTCCTCTTCTTCCTCTGCAGTGGTAGATTCCTCCTTGAGATACTCTGATTACTCCATTTTGTTGATCATCTGTTCTGATTTGAACGTCAGTGTTTGGGTCACGTCTGAACCACTCATATTTCCAGCCAGCAGAGCTCCCCACAGAGCAGGTCAGTGTCACACTGCCCCCTACTGGTATGATAGTTGATCCTGGAGTCAGTGTGGCCCTGGGTTTACCTGCTGTTAGGGAAAATAAAATATGTACACATATGATCTATTATGAAGTAATAAGAACACAGGTCCTGGCTAAAGATTTTTTTTTCCAAAGCTCCTTCCATGAGCACATTAATTAAGTGTACACTCTGTTTTATAATTTAGATGAATATTTGAATTATTATATTAAGTGTATTATATGTATTGGTCATGGTCATGTCACGGCCTGGGGGTTCAGCTGGTCGCTGATCATCCCCCTCTTTTTCTCTAGTCCTCTCTCTCTCTCTCTCTTCTCCGCTTTCTCGCCAGGGCTGAACTCATTATGGGTTCACGCCCTTGGCCCACGCCCTCGGAGGAAGAAACACCTGTGCCTTATCAGTGTGGTATTTAAGAGGGGAAGCAACGGCTGTTCTTCGCTGGATCGTTGCGAGAATCGCGTCAGTGAAAGTCGAGCGCCCCAGCAAGTATTTTCCCATGCAGTGTATGTGTTCAGCATTTAACAAGCGTCTCTTTGTGTACAGATTCCCTGGACTGTTCCCCGAGTGTGCGAGTGGATTCGTGTCTGGATTGTGTGGAGTAAGACGAGCGTGTTCCCCTGGATTTTCCCCGGAGCCCTGCCCCCCTCACCTTTTGTACATAGCACTGCCTCGCACCCCCTTGTAAATAGCACTGCCTCATATCTGTGTATATACTCTCTCTTTGGACATTGTTCTGCAATAAATTTCCTTGTGTGCATCATCCCCGGAGTCCAGCGCGTGAGTCCACCCCGTATGTCGTGACAGGTCACTGAGGACTTACCCAGCACAGTTAGGGAGACAGTATTACTGTTCTGTGTATAATGTGATTTCTTCATACGACCAGAGCACTGGTATTTACCAGTATCAGATGTAGTAATAAAGTAATAAAGTATGTAGTAATAAAACTAAGTAATAAGAATTGTTTTATCATACAGATGTGAGCTGAGTAGTGAAAGAGACAAAATGAGCAGATTACATGTCATTTTGTTTCCTTTGTCTGCTCCTCGTCTGCTTGTTGTGTTTGCTGGGAGCTTTGCCACCAATAATAGTTACTCTCACAGATGCTCCGTCATGGAAATACACCATTCTGATGGGTTCAAACTGCTGTAGAAAAGCAATTTTCAAGGAGTCTTGAATTGCTTCTTCTACACTAAAAGCTGCTGCACAAAATCCTTAAATTGCTTCAAATATAAAATAAATGCATTTTCATCTAGCTTAGCCTCATAGCTTCAACTATCAGTTGACAAATAGCAGTGTCATACTCACCATAAGCAGATGTTCAGTTAATCCATGCACTCTCTCACACAACAATGAAATCTGTAACTAAAAAATTGACTTTTTTTTATCTTAATTGATAAAACTGAGCTTTACTAATATAGATTATTCCATTAAACCCCTGTAAAATCTTCTGGTTTCATCATAAATTGATTTACAGGAAACGGACAACTCAAACAGTAACAGAAGTGAGTGTGAGGTGAGAGGAAGTCGTCCTTTTTTCTGAACTTGCCACTGTTGCCTTACATGTCGCTGTAAGTGGGTTTAGAGGCGTGAAACGACAGACATTTCCTGTTTCATTGCCCAAAGCAATGAGAAGTAAGCAGCAGTGTGGTATATATAAAAAGATTCCCCACTCGCCCCTGTGGGCGGTCAATCCTTCAAGCTCAGGTCCTCTACCAGAGGCCTGGGAGCTTGAGGGTCCTGCGCAGTATCTTAGCTGTTCCCAGGACTGCGCTCTTCTGGACAGAGATCTCCGATGTTGTTCCCGGGATCTGCTGGGAGTCACTGCACCTAGTGCTCCAATTACCACTGGGATCACCGTCACCTTCACCCTCCACATCCTCTCGAGCTCTTCTCTGAGCCCTTTGCACTTCTCCAGCTTCTCGTGTTCCTCCTTCCTGATGTTGCTGTCACTGGGAATCGCTACATTGATCACTACGGAAGTCCCACAGGATCTTAGCTCGGTCATTCTCCATCACCCTTGGAGGAGTCTCCCATTTTGAACTCTGGACTTCCAGGCACTTCCAGACACAGATACTCCTGTATATTATGCCGGCCACTTGGTTATGGCGTTCCATGTATGCCCTGCCTGCTAGCATCTTGCACCCTGCTGTTATGTGCTGGATAGTCTCTGGGGCATCTTTACACAGCCTGCACCTGAGGTCTTGCCTGGTGTGATAGACCCCAGACTCTATGGATCTTGTACTCAGAGCTTGTTCCTGTGCTGCCATGATTAGTTGACAGCATTGTTGAACGCTCCTGATCCAGGCTCATGTCAGTACAATGCAAACGCCAACAAAAAAGCTGCTGGTTACACAGCTTGACAAGGTCCTGCCACCATTAACAGGACATGGGAACACATGTGAATTTGAGATGCCACAGTTTCCAACGGGATCCAAGGTGAGTTAAATTAAAAGGAGAGAGATCTCTTTCATGTTTTCATTGTCGTCTGTTTTTGACTTCACTAGGCAAGTCTTAAGACTTAAGATGAAACTGCAGCCATTAAGTCACAAAAACTCTGACATGAAATATTAGATTTAAAATACTAACAGAAATTTTCAACACTGTATTCTGTGTTGAAAACTATCACCCCTCCTCCTGTCCCTCAACAAAGTTTGTCCATTTGTGTGGTATAAAGGGTGTCATACATGTTCAAAGTTTTCCTGCCTCAGTACAAAGTTCCAGCAGGTCAGTGTTATATAAACACTTGAAGGACTCCACTCAGCATTTATGTTTATGTAATTTATCAACAAACACAACACACAAGACTGAAGCATATACTGTATAACATTTATATAATAAAGGCTACATGGTTTAAACGAAACACAAAATGAGATAACAGAATAAAAAATTTGACGGCAGTTTACCAAATATGAAATAAACAAATATAAAATGTTATTAATGTACAAACCCATTTAAAAAAACAAGAGGAACAAAGATGCTTATTTGCAAAGGAAAGATCTGTAAATATAGATATAAAAACAATACATGTGTTGGGGGCGTGGTTTACGATGCTGCTGCAGGTGCGATGTACACACCTGCGCGGCGTCTGCAATCACACCTTAAAAGTTCAGAGTTTTGGTTAACGATGTTGTTGTGGTTGTTGTGTTGAGCTGCAGTGTGTGTGTCCAGCAACCGTCAAAGAATTAATACAAGTGATCAAAATGCCACTGGGTCTACTGTGTATGTTTACAACATGCAGTTCAATAAATGCTTGTGTGGAAGTGGAAAGATCCTGATCCTAACACCACACTATCACTTGCTATTGTAAGCTATTTTATTTCTGTATTACTAAGAACTGGTTTTGATTTGACTTCAGAATAAACTGCTTCATCAGCTGCTGCAGGGGCTGATTTTCCTGCAAATAAAGAGATTTTTTGATGAGATGACTGCCAGTAACATCTTAATTCAAAGGCTCTACTATTTATACACTTTTTCTTGGTGTGTATAAAAGTATAAAGCAGACAGCAAAATGAAAAATTTGCAATTTTTTAGATTACTTTACTTACCTTTATGTATCTTGACTTTAGCTCTGTTGTGGGAGACCTCTGCATACAACAGGCTGTAATCTAAAGAGGACAGACGATGATCAGAAAAGGTTGACTGTCTTTAATTTCCTTTATATTTATATCATTCTGTCATTCAACACCTAAACTACATGACATGACTGAAGGATGTTCTCTACACTGACTACCATTTCTCAGCATTAGATATTATCTTGTTTGAGTTCATCATTATAGCGACAATGAGTCTGTTATTTCTGTGCAATTACCAAGAGCTGGTTGTGACTTGACTTCAGAATAAATGACTTCTTCAGCTGCTGCAGAGGCTGATTTTTCTGCAAATAAAGACATTATTAGTCAAAGATGATTGTCAGTAACATCTTAATTCTAAGTCCACACAGCCAGCAGGATAACAATACCTCAAATCAGCCTTTTAGACTGAGGGGTAAAAAGTGTAAAACAGACAGCAAAAAGAAATGTGTGCTTTACTACTTTACTTGCCCTTGTTTCTCTTGGCTTTAGCTCTCTTGTGGGAGACCTCTGCATACAACGGGCTCTCATCTAAAGGAGGACAGACAGACGATAAACTAACTTTGGAGTAACTTTGATTTTCTTTATACTGAAATCATTTTGTCATCAAAGACCTAACTCATCACATGAACTGACTGAGGGAGGTTCTCATCTATTGAAAATGATTTTTTTTGACAGCTCGTTGTTGTATTATTAAAAAAAGCTTCTTTCACATTGTGCCTACATCAAAAACAGCCAGTGAGCATTCAGAAGGGTCGCCTCAGTGATAGATGACCCCTGATATTAGAATCACATGAAACACGAGAAGAATGATGCTGGCTAATCTCAGTTAAAATACAGATCTTTGACATGATTGGACTAAACTGAATGTATTGTCTCTGTTGAGAACAGGATTAAAATGAATCCCGTGATTATAGGTTAAGGTTTATAACCTGCAGCACCCATAAGAACATAAAAACCTTTATGGAAAAAAGTAGTTACATTAAATTACACTCTGGAAAAAGGAAAGTGGAATCTCTGAAAAGAAAAAACATATCAGCAAAGGTTTTAAATACTGAAGGAATTGGACTGATTATTAATTGTTCTTTGGTTTATTGTTTTATTGTAAAAGATTCATTATTCAAATTAAATTAAGGGAACATTCGACTATCACAGTATGAAACATTTTCATTCAAACTTCAGGGATACCTGGCTCCATTTCAGCAGCTTTGATGCAACTCAGAATGACAAGAGGTGCACTGAAGAGGAAACAACAACAAAAACCCCAACAAGAGAATATCTTCGAGGTGGTGTTCACAGGTCATTGCTCTCTCTTTATCCCCCTGACTGACTTTTCTTGATGCTGTTGTTCAGTCAAGCTGTGCTGTGAGTACAAGTCCTAGTAAAGGTCATGAGGCCTCGTGCTGTGTTCGCAGAGTCTATTTCTAACAGTTTGATCAAAAGCATGCACATGAGAATGGGCCGTCCTGGTCTGCCTGTGCAGCCTGATGGTAACGTCTCACAATACCAGCGGTTTGCACCAAAGCAGCTGAAATGGACTCACAATGTTTTATGCTTCCTAACTACACTGATTGAAGTCCCTGAATTTTAACTTTTTAAATGTGTTCCACCTTTTTCCACTTTCTCCTCTATTTATTAGTTTATTTGTTGAACAGAGCACATTACAGCGATCAGCTGGTTTCTTGCTTTTTCTTCTTGGAGCGATAACATGAATGAAAGTCTAGTTTTTCCTTCATTTGGATACTACGGTCCAATAAAAGCATGTAAACTAGTGTATTTTGTATTGGTAGCAGAATAAATACTCACCTTTCTGAGTGATGTTTTTAAACTCAATCAAAGAATATGTGACATCCCCAGATTCAACTAAAATAGAGTTCAAACATTTACACATAAATGAGAATAATCAAAGAGTCTGCATACTTATAAACCGCTGTTTATACTTTACCATTTTTTGTGTCATCGTGGTCTTTGACTGATTCATAGAGACAAGCATCACCTACGAAACAATTAAAACTCATATACATGGATCTGATCACCTTACAAACAGAAATGTCTAAAGCAGAACTCGTCACGGTTAACGCTGACCTTGGTGAGGAGAAGCATGTTGGCTGTCTCGAGCTTCATCCTGGTTGATCGTTTGGTTTATGGTTTGATTTGTGCTGGAACATAAAATGTAGTAAAACAGTGGATTTAATAAGAAACACGGGATGAAATTCTGGTTTGATAAATAATGAGAGAGAAAATGTAAACAAACCTGGCAAAGCATGAATCTGAAAAACAAAACAGAAAAACACAATCAGATGTTTTTATTGCAAACTGTTCTGGTGCTGTACCGTTACATGCAGCGTTCAGGGTTAGATTATGCTCAGTGTAATATCAGAGAGAAATGGTTTCACCCTTTGACTGTTTGAAGCAACAACACAGCAGAAGAAGAATCAGTAAAAGTCCACAGACGAGTCCAACGATCAACAGAGCAGGAAATGAAGAGTTTCCAGTCCTGGGCACTGCTGAATAAATGAGAAGATTTAATTACATGTATGTAAACAGATTTAATGTACAACAGGCTTCACATGAAACACACACAAGAGCTGGCACTATCTCCAATACCAGAACTCCTGATCACAGCACCATCATTCTAAACACGGGGCCCCGCAGGGATGTGTGCTGAGCCCCCTCCTCTTCACTCTGCTGACCCATGACTGCACTCCATCACACAGCTCCAACCTCTTCATCAAGTTTGCGGACGACACAACGGTGGTGGGTCTCATTAGCAACAGGGATGAGACCGACTACAGAAGTGAGGTGAGACGCCTGGCCACGTGGTGTGCTGACAACAATCTCTCTCTGAATGTGGAGAAGACAAAGGAGATTGTTGTGGACTTCAGGAGAATGCACACCCAACATGCTCCTCTGACCATTGACGGAGCGTCTGTGAAGAGAGTGAGCAGCACCAAGTTCTTGGGTGTGCACATCACAGAGGATCTCTCCTGGACGTACAACACCACAGCACTGGCCAAGAAATCACAGCAGCGTCTCTTCTTTCTCCGCAAACTAAGAAGAGCAGGAGCTCCAGCCCCCATCATGTACACTTTCTACAGAGGCACCATCGAGAGCATCCTGTCGAGCTGCATCATTGTGTGGTTTGGAGCCTGCAATGCGTCCTGTCATAGAACCCTCCAACGCATAGTGAGAGCTGCAGAGAGGATCATTGGTGTCTCTCTCCCCTCCCTCCAGGACATTTACAGCACCCGTCTCACTAAAAAAGCCCTTTGCATAGCGGCTGATCCCACGCACCCAATGCAAAGCTTCTTCAAGCTGCTGCCGTCAGGGAGGAGACTGCGGAGTCTCCGGGCCAGGACCAGCAGACTGAAGGACAGCTTCATCCATCAGGCTGTCAGGAAGCTTAACTCCCTCCCGATTCTGCCCCCTCTCCCCTCTCTCCTCCACGGTCCTACTGAACTCTGTCACACACACACACACACACACACACACACACACACACACACACACACACACACACACACACACACACACACACTCTCTCTCTCTCTCTCTCTAACTCACTCACTGGCCTGCACCAGTTACCAGTCACTTTGTGGAGCATTGGACTGCCATTACCTCATAAGACTTTGTTGTTACACTTTCTCTTACCGTACACTACTAAATCTCCATTTGCACTATTTGCCTGGTTTACACTCAATGTCACTTACCCATTATATTGTATAGCTTTCTTGTTATATGTAAAAATTGTATTGTATTTATTTATTTAAATTTTACTTTTTAATTATTTTACTTGCATTTTTAATCACTCTTATATTTAAATGTTCATTTGCTATTTTATCTAGGGATTGAGAGTAACGTAGTTTCTATTCTCTGTATGTCCTGTACATGTGGCAGAATTGACAATAAAGCTGACTTTGACTTTGACATCTCCTCCATTCTCATGTTATTTTACATGATTTTGTAATATGTACAAAAAAGCACAAGCGAAAGAAAATTTTCTCTGTGTAACTTGGAACCAACATGATCTCCAGGACAGATGTCAGCTGGTTCAGTGTTATATACAATTACTTCCACTATACAGAGGCAAATCGAGGCAGTGCTGAAAGCTAATGGGGGTCCACCCAGTACCAGCAAGGTGTACCTAATAAAATGTCTAGTAGCCTTCTTAATCTCTGAGGTGTGTCCCATTGTCACAGATGTATAAAATCAAGCACGTAGCCTTCTACGGAGCTTCACTAAACTAAAACAGCGTTTTGTCTCAGTTTTTTTACACTTTCAGTAAAGACGGCACTGAACACGCTAAAATTAAAAAGTGTCAGTGTTCACAAGAACGATGGTGATGCAGCCGCTGTGAAATCTGCGGTAGTGTTGCAGCTGATAAGGAGCAGATATTCTGAATATTACATAAACATCATACTGAATACTGGCAAACTGGCAACAGCCCTCAATATTCACAGTAAAGCACTTTTTTCATCATCATCACTTTACGGGGTATTAGTTGGGGTCCCCAGCAGGCGGCTTGGACACTTGTGTTCATGATTACGATAACTCGGGAACATCTACTAATAATCTCAGATAAGTTCAAATCTCAGTGACCTCGAGGTCAAAGTTAGAGGTCAGGTTTTCTAAAAAGGAAGGAAATCACTTATGTTCAAGCTTACTTGCATGTACCAGGAAGCTGAGGGGCAGCACGATCATGGTGACTGAGATCAAGTATGTGTGTGTTTTATTTATGTTATCAGCTGGAAGAAAATTTCCAAGAGACTTTTAAATAGGGATGATGTAGTTTTGTCATTATTTGTTTTGTACATTTAAAGTGCTTTTCATAGACACATATGATGTTTGTTTATTTCATCATCTTACTGGGGTGATGGTAATAAAGCTCAACATTAGCTTTGTACCAGCTAAATATTCACAGAGTGTCGGACAAACTACGAGGCTACAATCAGGTTGATGTCATCCTGTGCTGATCCTTGTTATGTTTGTAAAATGAAGCTCAACAACAAACATGACTTACTTGATGCTGACAAGTTGAAGGCTTCACTCCACTCTGTTGAAGAATATGAGTCATCTCTGCGTCGACTCTTACACGTGTAGTCTCCACTGCTGGACTCAGAAACATTGAATATCCAGTAATTATTGTGAGTCCACTGTGTGGTCTGGTTGGGTCCTCTCCATCTATACTCCCACTCAGTGGTTTCCCCTCCTTCCTGCACCTCACATGTCAGACTGATCGTCTCACCGCTGAATATCTGAGGCCAGCTGGGTCGTCCTTTAACAACAACCTTATTGGAAACTGTTTATTAACAGTTAAGATACAAACAGAAACATCAGCTCAGCAGAGAAAACTTAACACTGTGTGTCTGAATGTGAATTTCAAACTAAAATGACTGAACTCACAGGTTATCTTAATGGTGACATCATCACTTCTATCAGTGTAGTAAACTGTGTTTCCTCTTCTTCCTCTGCAGCGGTAGATTCCTCCTTCAGATACTCTGATTACTCTGTTTTGTCGATCATCTGTTCTCATTTGAACATCAGTGTTTTGGTCACGTCTGAACCACTCATATTTCCAGCCAGCAGAGCTCCCCACAGAGCAGGCCAGAGTCACACTGCCCCCTACTGGTACGATAGTTGATCCTGGAGTCAGTGTGGCCCTGGGTTTACCTGCTGTTAGGGGAAAAGAGGAAGAAAAGAAAAAAATGGATAAAAGACCATTTCACTTTTGTGTGAGAAAAGTTTTTTTTTTAAATTTAATAACAACATCATTTGGGAAAAAAAACCTCTTTATTTCATCAATTGGATGAGTTTGAACAGGCATCACAAATTAATCGTTAAAGCATCCCAGCAGTGTTAATACTGGTCTCATCCACTTTCTCCTCTCACATAGGTCTGCAATGCATTTCCATTTATAAACTACTGCTTTCCTTTTTCTGCATCAAGCCTTCCTGCTTGATTCATCAGAAGATTCTCACTAATGTAAGACTCAGATGTCAGACCACACAGAAGCAGATCATCATAGCTGCACAGACAAATCTCTACTGCAGCAGTTTAATTATGAGACTTCTAACTTTTCATTTCTTTAATTCATACCTTCAAACTTTAATATCTTGCTTTTATTTGGTATTAGTCAATCTTCTTTCAACACCATCAGAAGAAATCAAACATTTCACACATCACTGCATTAATAAAACAAACTCATCCATCATTCCTGAGATAAAATGAATAAAAACATGTAATCCATGAAGAAAATCCCTTCAAACAGTTCGGTCCCCTGTGGAGGAAAAAATGTCTGTCGCAGTCTTAAAATGTTGTTTCCACATTAGAGATGTGTTCACATTCACAGCATACAGCAGAAACGATGTTCACATCACTGGGCTCTCTACACCACTTCAGCTGCACAGACGTCACAGAGTCACCATCTCTGTTTCTAGGCTGCCACAATAAACCAGCTCAACAGTGAAAACATTAGATTTCTGCTTGTAGCTCCATCTGTCACCATGACAACATCTCCATCTGAAATATTACAACAAACCTTTTCTCCACCTACTCATCTCTGTTTAACTTCCTACAAGCCTCACTGCTCTTTCTTACACACACAAACTTTACAATAAAATGACCTCAGCTTCTGTTTAGAGTAATTATCAGGAATCAGACCAAATGTCTGTTTGTCCATAATAAACTGGCTCAGGACCTATTAGTGCTTGAAAAGGATCAGTCTCAGTATGATGACTGGGGTTGGTGAGGGTGGTAGTGATGACATGGTAATATGTCTGTGAAGGTTCTCAGTCATCCAGGTCATCGTAGTCACCTTTGACTATGACATGGTAATAACAATATTTGGATGTTTTTCTTTAGTCCCATACGTCCAATGGATTTAAAACTGTCTATAATAAGGCTACAATCAGGTTGATGTCATCCTGTGCTGATCCTTGTTATGTTTGTAAAATGAAGCTCAACAACAAACATCACTTACTTGATGCTGACAAGTTGAAGGCTTCACTCCACTCTGTTGAAGAATATGAGTCATCTCTGCGTCGACTCTTACACGTGTAGTCTCCACTGCTGGACTCAGAAACATTGAATATCCAGTAATTATTGTGAGTCCACTGTGTGGTCTGCTTGGGTCCTCTCCATCTATACTCCCACTCAGTGGTTTCACCTCCTTCCTGCAGCTCACATGTCAGACTGATCGTCTCACCGCTGAATATCTGAGGCCAGCTGGGTCGTCCTTTAACAACAACCTTATTGGAAACTGTTTATTAACAGTTAAGATACAAACAGAAACATCAGCTCAGCAGAGAAAACTTAACACTGTGTGTCTGAATGTGAATTTCAAACTAAATGACTGAACTCACAGGTTATCTTAATGGTGACATCATCACTTTTATCAGTGTAGTAAACTGGGTTTCCTCTTCTTCCTCTGCAGTGGTAGATTCCTCCTTGAGATACTCTGATTACTCCGTTTTGTTGATCATCTGTTCTCATTTGAACTTCAGTGTTTGGGTCACGTCTGAACCACTCATATTTCCAGCCAGCAGAGCTCCCCACAGAGCAGGTCAGTGTCACACTGCCCCCTACTGGTATGATAGTTGATCCTGGAGTCAGTGTGGCCCTGGGCTTACCTGCTGTTAGGGGGAAAAGGGGGAAATGCATTATTCACTATGAACTCATAGAAAACAGAAAAGGGAAATTTAAAGATTTGGTTTAATGTGGTGAAACTTTCCACCCACATTACTCTTTATCATATTTTTCTATTTATTTTCTCTCTGTGTTCTTTGATTTTCTTCTCGTGTCTTTCTCAACATGTGGATATTGTTTCTGTAACTCTGGTTTAAATCTCTAAATAATCACAGTATAAATGTTTGTCTGACCTGAAAGAGTCACACTAATGTAAACTATCACAGGTCACTGCTGAAGGACACACAATGATGGTTTCACAGCTCTGTGTGGTTTTTGGTTTAAATAACAGAAACATCAGTCACTTTAAACTTTTCATGTTTTTTCTTTTTCTTTGTTTTAAAGTTTAGAGTCTGTGAGTATTTTATCACTGTGTGTGCTGTGAGTGATGTAACAGGTAAAATCAGTTTCCTGGTTAAAGTTTATGCTTCAAAGCAACAGAAACAAGTTTCCATGACAACATTATTTAGTGTACATGTCACTGACGACTTACCCTTCACAGTTACAGAGACGATGTTACTGGTCTTTGTTTTCTGTGATCTCGTCCTGTGAGCAGAGCAGCTGTATTTACCACTCTGAACTGTAGATGCAAGTTTTACACTGAGGCCTTTGTTTGCGTTGGAGTTTAAAATTTCTTGACCATCCTTCATGACTTTGTATTCCCAGTCAGTGTGTTTTCCTTCCTTCATGTCACATTTGAAGCTAACAGTTTCTCCGATGAAAAAAATTGTTGAGCTGGGTTCAACAGTTAGCACAGCATCTAGAATCCAACACAAACACAACATCATTGATCTGAAACACTTTTATGTACTTTACAAATCAAAATCTGTTCATAAACTTATAAATATATTGAGTAATAAAAACAGAAATGGAAAGTGTTTCAGATTGATGCACTAAGATTAATATTTACTAAATAAATAAAAGTGCAAACTGTTCAGTCACCTTGAGCGTGTCCGCTGCAGAGGAGCGTACAGAGAACTGCAATAAAGGAAGAAACTTCACACATCATCAAACTGAAGACTCACTCAAACATGGCATCAGTCAAACACACCTGGTGTTACCAGAGGCTGCTGTGATTGGTTTAAATTATATATTTAATGTAAAATGCATCAAATTATCACTGATGAAGAAACAAACCATTCTTAGATAAACTAAACCAGCGTCAGTGCACTGAAATCTAATCCAGTCTGCAAACAACCATGTTGAGAACAAAACATGAACTTAAATGCTGCAAATGACTGAAACTCTGTCATTTTACTAAAACATGTTCATCAGTCAATGAATCAAAGGAAGAAGTGATGCACTGACAGAATAGGCCCAGCTCACAGAGGAAAGTGGGTCCCATCCTCACATCCAGCTGTGACACGTCTGAAAACTTCTACGACTTTGTGTGAAGAGAAAGAAGAAGAAGCACACGAGACGAGAACTGTGAAGAAAACAAAGACTTTAAAACTTCTTCTCTCCGCTTCCTTCCTTTTATCACACCTTAACAAGCTCTGACTACAGCATGCTTTGACATGTTTGGTGCTGCAGAAACAAATTAGTGAGATTTTTATGAAACTAAGTAATAATTTACTTAGTTGTAGTTGTATCATACACATGTGAGCTGAATAACGAATAGACAAAATGAACAGATTACAAGTCCAAGTGAAGCTTTAAATGTGAAGTACTTTTGTTTTACATCCAGAAACACAACAAGAACACAGCTGTCTGCACCTTCACCTGCAGGTCTCATACACACACTGATCACATATATGCACATGTTAAACACTCTTTGTCATAAATCACATTCAGACACAGTATTAAATAAATCTAATTCTCAAAACCGTTCCACTCCTGAAACTAATAATTCATTTGAACCGTGACATGGGGAACAGGCAGAGGCAAGTTTGTGGACACTTTTAAAATATTTAATTTTCTTTTAGTTTCTTTTTACTCTTTAAATTACTAAATTAATAAAATGCAGTCATAAAGTTATAAGTAAGTTTACCCTGGATGGTGAAAGTGGCCTCTATCAACTGTTTTTCTTTGTTAGGTATAGTTAAGAGTTTTGATGTATTAAACATCAAGACCATCAAAACATTTGAAATCCTGGAATAACTGCATAGGAAGTTTAAAATTAAAGTCTTGGAGCCCGACTGACTTCTTACAGAAACAGCGATGGACATTTTGTTTCCTTTGTCTGCTCCTCGTCTGCTTGTTGTGTTTGCTGGGAGCTTTGACACCAATAATAGTTACTCTCACAGATGCTCCAGCACACAAACACGTCATTCTGATGGGTTCAAACTGCTGTAGAAAAGTGATTAAAACCATTAGCAAGCACAAGAAGAGACATTTAGTATTTTCCTCCTGCCATAGAAATATTAATCAGCTGCTGATAATTTTCAAGGAGCCACGAATCACTGATTATATTCTAAAGGCTGCTGCACAAAGTCACTACATTGCTTCAAAATACAACAAACATGTTTCCATGAAGCTTTGTAAACAGTTAAAAACAGATTGATAGATGATCAGCCCAGAGACGTAATACTTACTCAGAGCAAATGGTCACAGCAGGCGAAAGCACTTTTTCCCACAACAGTGAAATCTTTCACTAAAAATACTTTATTTATCATTTTAACTGACAAACTTCACTAATGTAAAGTCATCACTGCAGAGTCTTTGAACATGAAGTTCAGTTCTGGTCAAATGTTCACTCAAATTCAGGAAGTGAGATGAAGTCCGCCTCCCTCCCTTCTCTTGTCTCTGTTTCCTTAAAAGTAGCTGTAACTGTTGTATTCAAAGAGATGAAAGCTGTTAACTTTGTCACTCAGTAACCACACAGTGAGCTACTTCCTGAGGCTCATGGGAAATGTTTTTGAGATCGAACAAACTTTGACTGACTTTAAAATGGCAGGTCGTTCAGACTGCAGCAGATAATCGTTCAGTTACAAGCACAGACTGAAACTCACTGAGATGAAACTGAAGAGACACTTTAACTCAAATCCAAAATCCATTTCCTGAAAATACTGTAGGAGGTTTCCATAAACTGTTTGAGAATTAGTAATCAGAGTAAATCCAGACATTACAATTCTTTAGGCTGACTACAGACAAACACTGTCAGTCTGATTGTTGGATAGCAGAGCACAGCTGGAAACAGATGTTGTATGAATGCTCTAAATACATTTTTGCTTCTTGTTAGGTTTCCTGGTGAGGTGTAAGTGTGTTGTGCTAGACTTCAACGTTAGTCCCAACATCAGTGTGCCATCGTTCAAACCATTGTACAGCACACTTCATGGGCCTGATAGAAGAAGAAGAGGAAGAAGAACCCGGTTACGTTGCTTGGCCTCCACTTACACCTATTAACTTAGCAGATTTAAAGAAAAATATCATTAAATCAGTGACTCTTTGGTTAAGCTGCAATACGATAATTGTAAATGAAGCTTATGTGTAAGTTGAGCTGCCTATGTGTAAGGAAGATCTGTAATCAGTCATCTGCTTTCCTGGCTGTTAGTCTGCCTTTCTGTTCTCTGCATCACTATCACTGTCAGTCTCTATACTTACATCATTACTCTAGTCCAATCATCTTCTTGCCCTCCTTCTTTGGGCCAATCAGCCTCCACTCTGTATGGTTTAAATCTGTGCTGGGTCAGGAGGGGTGCTGAGCCTTAAGCAGAAACAGTGGTGGAGCCTGCTGAAAATCCAGACACTCTGGCCTGTTTAAAGTGCTCAAACACAGTTTGCATAGTTACAGAACTGCAACACAGAACAGCCACAGTGTGTGGCATCAAGTGTCAAACATGGAGGAAGAAGCGTGATGGTCTCTGGCTGTGTGCTGGACCCAGGGTCGGTGACTTGTGCAGAATGAGAGGCACCCTGAACCAAAACAGCTGCCACAGCATTCTGCACCACCATGCAATTCCCTCTGGTAGGTACCTAGTTGGTCAGGGTTCATAAAAGCTGAACGACAGTCCAAGCTATGCCAGAACTACCTCAGGAAAAAAGAAGATGGTAAGCTTGAAAACATGGAGTGTCCAGCACAGTATCCAAACTTTAACCCCATCAAGCTGGTTTGGGATGAACTGGACAGAAGAGTGAAAGCAAAGCAACCTACAAGTGACACACATTTATGGGAACATCTGTAACAGATATGAGAAGAACTTTCTGAAGAATATTTGATTTCTCTTGTAGAAAAAATGCCACAAGTGTGTTCAGCTGTCATATCTGCCAGAGGTGTTTACTTTGATGAGTCTAAAGTTTAGAAGACATGTTGGTCTATAAATTGATTCCACGATATATTTTTAAGTCCAACTGGAAAAATTGGGGTGTTCAAAAACATTGACCAGTGGTGTATTTTTATGGTTGTGGCCGCCTCTATATATGGGCCTCCCCTGGTTCAACCTGATATCACACCATAATGTATACTAGACACACTGGTCCACCCAGATGTGGCAGTAAGTTGTAGTAAACTGCAATAACAGCAGAGGGAGGTTTTTATGTCAAGGCAACATAATAATAATCACAGAAAGCCCTTAAATAGACATTATTAACCCATTTAACACATATATAAATATAAGAAACATACATAAAATATTTGTGGTGATTAAGGAAACTGGAATGTACTTCAATACTGGTCTACAGTTGCTTGCTCACTAGTGGTGTCTTTTCTTTAAATATATTATCTCCCCCTGCTGCTGCTGTAATGTTTGTATTCAGTGAAGCAACCATGCGTGCCCATTTCACGTTTTGGAGAGCCAAAATTAATAAAAAATGGAAGCTCATGAACAATCATATCGACAACATTCATGTTTAAAGTTTAATCATGTTCATCACAGATGTGAAGATTTACACTTGAGCATTAGTTTCATCCGTCTGAGATTTTAGATATATGTAAATGTGGAAGTGTTGGTGACCATGAAGCTGAGAGGAATAAACTTTAGTTTCATTCTGGGTGAGAGCGGAGCCTTGATTCATGCTCAGGGACTGACTCACCCTAAAATATCTAGAAAATGAGAAAATACGTTGTAAGCGATGTTGTACCATTTTCCCTTTTTGTGTGCACATTGTTCTTCTGTTCATGCAATCAAACAGTAAAACTGTCAAAGGGAAGATTGTAGAGGCGTGACCAAAACACTGAAGTTCAAATTAAATTCCTCACTAAGACCAAAAAAGTGGACCACATCAGTCCAGCTCTGAGGTCTTTACACTGGCTGCCTGTCCGTCAGAGGATAGACTTTAAAGTTCTGATGCTGGCCTATAAAGCTCTGAATGGTTTAGGACCAAAATACATCAATGACCTCCTGACCCAGTATGAACCATCCAGATCCCTCAGGTCATCTGGATCCGGTCTTTTATCAGTTCCCAGAGTCAGAACCAGACACGGAGAAGCTGCATTCAGCTTTTATGCTCCTTATATCTGGAACAAACTCCCAGAAAGCCTCAGATCAGCTGAAACACTCAGTTTATTTAAATCCAGGTTGAAGACTCACCTGTTCTCAGCTGCATTTGAATAAAGCACCAAATCCACACTTTAAGCTTAAATTTCAAAACTTACATTTAACTACTGATTTTATCTGTTTTGATTTTATATACTGTTTTGTTTGTTTGTTAACTAGTTTGTTTGTTTGCTTGTTTTAATCAATTTTAAATCATGCTTTTTATTTGTTTTTGTTTCTAATGTCTCTGTAAAGCACTTTGAATCACCTTGTTGTTGAATTGTGCTATACAAATAAACTTGCCTTGCCTAGAGTAGATTATCAACAAAAAGAGTAATCAGAGTATCTCAAAATAAAACTAAATAAAACTGAGACTCACACGACATTTTTCAACTATTAAATAAGTCCAATTAAAGACAAACTCACAAAGCAAATGAAAATAAATATTTGAACATCTCGGAAATAGTGGGCAGCATGACAGAAGTGAGACCTGCTGCGATGTAAGGATTGGAGATGGTGTCACTGACAGAAAGACGGTGTGAAGATGTTTGGATTTTCACTTGGAGTGAGTGAGCAGATCTGAGGGACAGCCTGGGTTGAGTGGATTGGAGACAAAGTTAGAGAGGCGAGGCTGAGATGGTTTGGACATGTGCAGAAGAGGGATGGGGGATATTTTGGACAAAGGATGCTGACGATGGAGCTGCCAGGCAGAAGGCACAGATGAAGACCAGAGAGAAGATTTTTGGACGTAGTCAAGGAGGACATGCAGGGGCTTGGTGTGAATATAAAATAGAAATACAATATTACCAACCCCCCAAAAATATAACTGTGGGGTTCAATTTGACTGGTTTTATAGACAGATAGTAACGTCTTCTTTGACTTAGACTAAATTCCAAAGAATCAGTGGTGCCTTATTTTGAAAATTATTTTTTTAAGTCATAACACTGTTCCTAATCTATTGACAGTGCTACAATGATAAAAAAAAAAACTATAATTAAGTAAATAAAGCCTCATCCATTCATCATTGTGCCAAAGTTTGGACATTTTTACAGCACAGTTGTTGAAGACGAAAGAAGAAGAGGAGGACGGAAAGTAGAAATGTGACAAAAAGCTGACTTTGCTGCTTGTCCTGTTACACTTTAACACAAAATATCATTAGCAGCATTTCAAGGAGCCAATAAGTGTGTTGATTAAGCTTCAATGTAATTATGATTGTCTGTGTTCATAGTGCATAATTTAAATAAAAGCTTAATATAAACCTTTGGTTTTGAGTTTTATTTTGCAAACATGATGTAGGATACAACAGAAATGCTGCTCATAGCTAGAAATAAAAACACACACATACAAAATACATTCACTGATACATTCAAATCCATACAGCATGTGTTGCATCATTAAGTCTGATATAATGTAGGAGGTCACATACAGCAATAATATTCACTGTTACCTGCCTTTAACACAGCAAAAGCTGAATTTAAAACCAGATTATTAGCTGCTAAACATCATGTTTCAAATGTTTTCTTGCTGCATCAAATGTTACGCAATCTACATTTTATATATTTTCTATAAAAGCTATAAATGCTCCCAGATAAATAAATAGACAAATTTTAAAAATATTTTAGACGTTTGGCTATAATGTGATGTAAAACCTGTCATATTGTCTCCTCAACAGAAGCTGTTGTCATCAGTCACTTTCCTCGTTCTGTTGATGGTGAGCTGCTCTTTATGGACCTGAAACAAAATCATAACAAACAGCTGTGAAACAGACTCATGCACATGTGTGTAAATGATATACGCTGCCCTCTGACATGCACTACATTATGTGTGCAGTTTCATTATTCTAGAGAAAGCAATAAAATAATCAATAAAAGCTGGATTAAAGGAGTTTATAAAAACAGGTTTTAGTCCACACAGATTTACTATTTCACACTCATTTCTTACATTATCTGCTTTAGCAAATCTTTCTGTATATCCTCGTCCTATCAGTCCCCTTCACCCAGGCGTAATTCTTTGTTTGTATTCATTCATTTAAATGTTTTTCTTCATGAGACTGCATAGACAGGAAGGAAACGTGGAGGCAGAACATGACAAAGATAAGATCTGATGGCTGAGAACCAAAGTGGCTCTTCAGTCACGAGGAGAAGCTCCACCTACTGTTACGTCTCATGGCTCGCATAATTAAGTAAGTAAGTAATTTTTTTATTTAATATAAATTTTATTTATATAGCACATTTCTTGATAAAAGATCACAAAGTGCTTCACAAGGTATAAAACAAAAACAGACAAAAGTTAACAAAATGCAATTCTAAAAAGATGTGTAATTCAAACAGAAAGAATCACTTTCCCCAGGAAGAACCCACTGGACCATCACACAGGTCACCCAGCTTCCTAAAGAGGAAGGCTGGGGTAGTATCTATGAGACACAGTCAGTTATATTCAGAGCACATTAAATGAATGCTCTCTTTCTGTGCATCCATGCTCAACAGCATAAAACTGTAAAATGTCCTCTCAGCCTGAAACAGATCTACAGGACATTAAAATTATCGTCTAATTTAACTGAAACAAGTGAAACACACTGAGAGAGCAGATAAAACAGTTAAAGAGCTCCTGTAAAGATTTCATACCTGGGGTTGAATTTGGATTGACATCACAATAGTCAGAGCTCTCCTCTGGGTCAACACGGTGCTCTGTTGAGGTGATGAAATGAAAGCATTTAAAAAACAAACAGTTTTGCAAATGTAATATATTTTATGTTGGATACTCACGTGTCTTGTTAATCACTTTGAGCTGATTCACACATGAATCATCTTCTATTTGACCTGAAATAACATTATTTATTTTAATAATCACAGTTATTTTATAACAGCCTCCATGAGCTGTGAATGAATTAAAGTTTATACTGTACCAGTGTCAGTGCTTTTAGAGCCTCTGATTGTCTCATAGACACAACGATCACCTGCAGGTCAAAGAAAATTATTCTACTTATCATTACTATTATCAAGTATTCTCATCAGTAACGTTTATATTAAATGCTGTTATTAACTTTGTTTAATTCAGCAGTGTTACAACTGCAGCAGTCTTGTTGCAAAGAGCATCAGAATCTTTTAAACTACATGAAAAGCTAACCATGAAGAAGAGACGAGTACACCTGCTGCTGATCTTCATCCTGACTGACCCTCTGGTCATCAGCTGAACCTTTATTAAACACTTAAAAGAAGACATTTGCTTTTACATGGTTATCTTTTATACATGTTATACAACAGTTCCAACTCCAGGAATGCATGATGTGTCTGTGCACATAAATATTTAAAGAGTAAAATCTCTGAGATCAGAGGAACAAAAAGTCTCACCTTTGGACTTCATGCAGTAATACAGCAAGAGCAGGAGGACAATAAATGTGATTCCAGAAATGAGTCCAACAATCATTAGAAATGAAGAGCTCTCCGAACTGAGCACAGCTGTTGTAAATAAGAAACACAAACTCTTGAATTCAATAATTCAGAAGCTGCTTTAAAGACAATAAATATGTTCAAGGTCTCTGGATTATTTATTTGTTAAGGATGTGACCTTCAGTCACTGCTGTAGTTTTTTAGTCCTCCCAACTCTTCATTTATTTTTATCGAGTGTTCTCAGATTTTTTACGGACAGCCTGGACACCATGCTGAGATGTGCCAAGTGTTCAGCTAAATTAAAAACTCTATTGAAATCGTTTTGCTGGTACAAACATGCTTTTGTATTCCTGTCAAACTGTTATTTATTTATTTATTTATTTTATTTATTTATCTATTTAAGTGTTCATCTTATAATATATTTCACACTAAGTACAGCAGAAATTTCCTAATATTGTAAATCTGATCAATTGCTTGGCAATTTAATCTTTTCTGGTTCTGATTCTATATTTAGCATTTTTCTTAGATTTAACAAAGAGGGGAAACAAATTATTTGTTCATGTGACAAGCTGCACGTAACAAAACACCTAAAGATAAAATGTAAAATGATATGATCATCTCAGAAATCCCTGTTCTACAACAGTGTCTGTAAAAATGTTTGCTGCATATATTTTAAAAACAATGTAACATACTTTGTAGACTACGGAATTGTTCCTGTGCATTGTTACGTTTGTAAAATGGAGCTCAACAACAAACATGACAAACAAAAATGACTGAACTCACAGGTTATCTCTTTTTTTTTTTTTTTTTTTTTTTGAAAAAAACCAAACTTTAATGTTATTTATATAAAGATCATCTGGTGTGAACAGCTTTACAAGTAAAAAAAAACAAAAAACAAAACACCTTCGATGACTAAGGGACAGAAAAAAAGAAACACTAGAAATGATCTCATAATGGGATCACACCAGGCATGACAGTCGCCACCACATTGGTTTTTAGTCCCATGACTACTTGATAGTCATTACCATAGCTGGACTGGCCATCGGGCATACCGGGCATTTGAAAAACTATTTTCTACACATTCCAGCACATAAAATAAAATATTTTTTGTGTTTACACTCACTCTTTCAAATAGATGCAAGTAAAACACAGCAGAAAATAAATAAAGTCAAAGACTCAGCGGTCCTGTTGCTCTATTTTCACCTGTAAAGCAGGACTGCAGTAGGCGGAGGTTTACCCTGGTGCAAGTGTGCCGCAGCGGTCAGTGGAAGGATATGGCAGCTCTGTGAATTTCCCATAACGTCGTAGCTTGCTTGGAAGTTTAGGGGTTTTTTTCGCTGTAAAAAGAAGTTTTCTTCCCACGCACGACGGACGCTAATGTTTTTGTCACTTTTTATGGAATCAAACTCAAAGTAAGGTCAGTACTTCCACGCTTTAAACGCTGCACCAGTGTTGGGAAGGTTACTTTTAAAATGTATTCCATTACAGAATACAGAATACATGCCCCAAAATGTATTCTGCAACGTATTCCGTTACGTTACTCAATGACAGTAATGTATTCTGAATACTTTGGATTACTTAATATATTATCATGCTTTTTACAACAACGTGAATGTACTATTGCTGTGTGATTTATTACTATTACTGAAGGTCCGCGACTCCGAACTGTAGTAAAGGGACCTCTGACTAATACGGCGGGGTCCCTGTCGGCTCGTAGCCGAAAAATAGCTTTACTTTAGCTTTACTGGTGTTGGCCAGAGGGGCCAATGGCGCGATATGGCAGCCTCGCTTCTGTCAGTCTGCCCCAGGGCAGCTGTGGCTACAACCGTAGTTTGCCTCCACCAGTGTGTGAATGTGAGAGTGAATGAATAGTGGCATTGTAAAGCGCTTTGGGTGCCTTGAAAAGCGCTATATAAATCCAATCCATTATTATTATTATTATTTGTTGTGTGGGTCAACTTTTCTTGCGAGAGACAGAGAGAGGCGTTGAAAGACTGCTCCAACGGAACACGGTGTACAGTCGAGTCTTAATAGCTTACTTACAACTGGGCTCGTCAGGCACTCTTCTTGGCTGAAGTGGTTATTATTATATTTACATGCTTCCAGCTCCCGTTTTTGCTCGACTACAACTCGTACCTTTCCACTCCCCTTTTTCTCCCTCCTCACGCTCACAGACCAATAACGTGTATGGCAGTCCATTCTCCCTGCAACACGGACTACACTGCCCATGATGCTACATTCTTTAGAGCTATGCTTGTAGCATTCTGTCTGTTAGCTTAGCACAACAACAACAACAACGAAAAGGCGCTCTCTCACCCAGGAAACACACAGTCGCAGAGAGAGAGAGAGAGAGCGTCGCCCTGTAACCATGGCAACCGTAACGCTGCTGCCTGGAACAACAGAACGTAGCTGTCAAACCCAAACAGTCACTAACAGCGCACTCGCTTACGTCACTGTCGTGAGACATTCTCGCAAAAAATCACGGTTTTAGTAACGCAGAAACGCAGCGTTCCTACGGGAAAGTAACGGTAATCTAATTACCGTTTTTGCAATAGTAATCCCTTACTTTACTTGTTACTTGAAAAAAGTAATCAGATTACAGTAACGCGTTACTGCACATCTCTGCTCACACACCCATATTCTTAGACATACATACACATACCTACTTACATATGTGTTCGCCTATAGTCTCATACATACTAACATATACATATAAACACATAACAATTCAAAAAATGTGGCATACATAGTTACAGAGATTCAAACAAGATCGGGTCTCCTTAACCAAATGTAATGTTTCCATTTACCCCAAATATCACTAAATATATCAAACTGGAGTCTTTTAATGAAGGTAATTCTTTCCATTTTAAACATCCCATATACAGTCTCGTGTCAGTCATCCAGTGATGGAATTTTCGCACTAAGCCATTTCTTGGTGATAGTTTTACAGGCAGCCAGACTCAGGATACCATACAACTGCTTAGACATTTTATCTACATTTACTGAGTATAAATATCCAAACAAAAGTTCATCCCAGTTAAAGGGAAGCTGCATACCAAAAATAATCTGCAACTCGGAGTGGATCAATACCCAAAAAATGTTGATCCTTGGGCAAGACCAAAACAGGTGGAAGTGTTTTACTCCTTGGGCCCCACAGTTTCTCCAGCAATTAGAGTGATTGAAATAATATTTACTTTGTGCAGGGGTAATAAAAAACCTACAGATACTCTTCCAACCATAACATCTCCATGTATTAGAACTAGAAATTCTCCACTGAAAAGCGCACTGCTCATACCAAATGTTATTTGATATTGCTATATTTGTTTCACTTCCCCATTTTTTTTTTTGATGTAGGTAGTATTCCATTTCTTAACCTCTTGTATACCCTTATACAGTCTAGAGATCACCTTAAGGCCTGTGTCAGCCTGATAAGCCTTGACAAATATATTCAAAACAGGTAAAGAGAAAAGATCTGTTCTCTTAGGTATAAAATTATATAGATGATGCCTAATTTGTAAGAACCTTAAAAAATCCGTTTTACTTAACTGGTATTGATCTTTTATTGATTGGAAGTCCCTAAGAATTCCCTTATCGTAAAACATTGTCCTGCCCATTTTTAATATCTTACATCTAATTCATTGGGTAAAAAATCACAATCAAAAAGTAAGTAAAATGGAGCTCAACAACAAACATGACAAACAAATGTCTGATAATTTAATAGAAGAGGTGCTGACATGCACAAACATGGAGGCATGAAGAGTAGCCACAGACAGGGGAAAAGAGTGGAAAAATGTAATCAAACTTAAGCTCCTGGCCTTCATTTGATTGACCATTTTTGCAGGAAGTGAGAAGAACTGGGATGTACAAGTCGGTGTGTTTTTGGGGAGTCCTCTGCATAACCCATTGTACAAGGCCATTAAGTTAATTCAAAGATTTAAAGATATTCGCCGTTTCTTGCACTTTGATGACAAGAAGAGCAGAGCCTACCGACTGAAAACAAACCACATGGCAGCTTTCTGCTACATATGGGACCTGTTCCTGGTCAACTGCAGGCAGAAATTCACCCTCAGTGATTGTGTTACAGTGGATGAACAACTTGTGCATTTCAGAAGGAAGACCCAGCTTCTCCAGTACATGCAGAGCAAGCATACAAACATGATACAAGTGATACAAAAACTGCAATTTCTTAAAATTAATGAAAAAATAAATAAAAATGCAAAGGGCCTCATGTCACAAACATGTTTTATGAGGAATAACTCAAATATTAAAATATTACAACTCTTTGTTTTAAAGATTTTGAAGAATAACAACCGAGTTTATAGCAAAATGCATTGTTTCTATTTGGGGTCATTTTTGACCCCACTCGTGGAAGAGTGTAGGTACTGGTAGGTTGTGCATCCAAGGGTTAATCTCTGAGGTGTGTCCCATTGTCACAGATGTATAAAATCATGTACTAGACATGATTTTGTGGAAAAATGGGTCCAAAGAAGAGCGAGCTTCCTCTTTATAGAGCTTCTCTAAGCTAAAACAGTGTTTTGTCTCAGTGTTTTTACACTTTGAGTAAAGACGGCACTGAACACGCTAAAATTAAAAAGTGTCAGTGTTCACAAGAACGATGGTGATGCAGCCACTGTGAAATCTGCGGTAGTGTTGCAGATAAGGAGCAGATATTCTGAATATTATATAAACATCATACTGAATACTGTCAAACTGGCATCAGCCCTCAATATTCACAGTAAAGCACTTTTTTTCATCATCATCACTTTACGGGGTATTCGTTGGGGTCCCCAGCTCAATGGCGGGGCAGGCGGCTTGGACACTTGTGTTCATGATTACGATAACTTGGGAACTCATCATCTACTAATAATCTCAGATAAGTTCAAATCTCAGTGACCTCGAGGTCAAAGTTAGAGGTCAGGTTTTCTAAAAAGGAAGGAAATCACTTATGTTCAAGCTTACTTGCATGTACCAGGAAGCTGAGGGGCAGCACGATCATGGTGACTGAGATCAAGTATGTGTGTGTTTTATTTATGCTATCAGCTGGAAGAAAATTTCCATGAGACTTTTAAATAGGGATGATGTAGTTTTGTCATTATTTGTTTTGTACATTTAAAAGTAAAAATGGAAATAAACATGAAGCTAATAAAAAAAAATTTAAAAAGTTGTGAAAGTGCTTTTCATAGACACATATGATGTTTGTTTATTTCATCATCTTACTGGGGTGATGGTAATAAAGCTCAACATTATTGTACCAGCAAAACATTCACAAAGTGTCGGACAAACTACGAGGCTACAATCAGGTTGATGTCATCCTGTGCTGATCCTTGTTATGTTTGTAAAATGAAGCTCAACAACAAACATGACTTACTTGATGCTGACAAGTTGAAGGCTTCACTCCACTCTGTTGAAGAATATGAGTCATCTCTGCGTCGACTCTTACACGTGTAGTCTCCACTGCTGGACTCAGAAACTCTGAATATCCAGTAATTATTGTGAGTCCACTGTGTGGTCTGGTTGGCTCCTCTCCATCTATACTCCCACTCAGTGGTTTCACCTCCTTCCTGCAGCTCACATGTCAGACTGATCGTCTCACCGCTGAATATCTGAGGCCAGCTGGGTCGTCCTTTAACAACAACCTTATTGGAAACTGTTTATTAACAGTTAAGATACAAACAGAAACATCAGCTCAGCAGAGAAAACTTAACACTGTGTGTCTGAATGTGAATTTCAAACAAAAATGACTGAACTCACAGGTTATCTTAATGGTGACATCATCACTTCTATCAGTGTAGTAAACTGGGTTTCCTCTTCTTCCTCTGCAGTGGTAGATTCCTCCTTGAGATACTCTGATTACTCTGTTTTGTTGATCATCTGTTCTGATTTGAACATCAGTGTTTTGGTCACGTCTGAACCACTCATATTTCCAGCCAGCAGAGCTCCCCACAGAGCAGGTCAGTGTCACACTGCCCCCTACTGGTACGATAGTTGATCCTGGAGTCAGTGTGGCCCTGGGCTTACCTGCTGTTAGGGAAAAAGGAAAAATGCTTTATTCACTGACCTGAAAGAGTCACACTAATGTAAACTATCACAGGTCACTGCTGAAGGACACACAATGATGGTTTCACAGCTCTGTGTGGTTTTTGGTTTAAATAACAGAAACATCAGTCACTTTAAACTTTATTAAACTTTTCATGTTTCTTCTTTTTCTTTGTTTTAAAGTTTAGAGTCTGTGAGTATTTTATCACTGTGTGTACTGTGAGTGATGTAACAGGTAAAATCAGTTTCCTGGTTAAAGTTTATGCTTTACAGCAACAGAAACAAGTTTCCATGACAACATTATTTAGTGCACATGTCACTGACGACTTACCCTTCACAGTTACAGAGACGATGTTACTGTTCCTTGTTTTCTGTGATCTCGTCCTGTGAGCAGAGCAGCTGTATTTACCACTCTGAACTGTAGATGCAAGTTTTACACTGAGGCCTTTGTTTGCGTTGGAGTTTAAAATTTCTTGACCATCCTTCATGACTTTGTATTCCCAGTCAGTGTGTTTTCCTTCCTTCATGTCACATTTGAAGCTAACAGTCTCTCCAATGAAAATGGTCGAGCTGGGTTCAACAGTTAGCACAGCATCTAGAATCCAACACAAACACAACATCATTGATCTGAAACACTTTTATATACTTTACAAATCAAAATCTGTTCTGACATGTTCATAAACTTATAAATATATTGAGTAATAAAAACAGAAATGGAAAGTGTTTAAGATTGATGCACTAAGATTAATATTTACTAAATAAATAAAAGTGCAAACTGTTCAGTCACCTTGAGCGTGTCCGCTGCAGAGGAGCGTACAGAGAACTGCAATAAAGGAAGAAACTTCACACATCATCAAACTGAAGACTCACTCAAACATGGCATCAGTCAAACACACCTGGTGTTACCAGAGGCTGCTACGATTGGTTTAAATTATATATTTAATGTAATATGCATCAAATTATCACTGATGAAGAAACAAACCTTTCTTAGATAAACTAAACCAGCGTCAGTGCACTGAAATCTAATCCAGTCTGCAAACAACCATGTTGAGAACAAAACATGAACTTAAATGCTGCAAATGACTGAAACTCTGTCATTTTACTAAAACATGTTCATCAGTCAATGAATCAAAGGAAGAAGTGATGCACTGACAGAATAGGCCCAGCTCACAGAGGAAAGTGGGTCCCATCCTCACATCCAGCTGTGACACGTCTGAAAACTTCTGCGACTTTGTGTGAAGAGAAAGAAGAAGAAGCACACGAGACGCCGAGAACTGTGAAGAAAACAAAGACTTTAAAACTTCTTCTCTCCGCTTCCTCCGCTTCCTTCCTTTTACTCAGAACTATCACACCTTAACAAGCTCTGTCTACAGCATGCTTTGACATGTTTACTCTCCTGGTGCTGCAGAAACAAATTAAGGAGATTTTTATGAAACTAAGTAATAATTTACTTAGTTGTAGTTGTATCATACACATGTGAGCTGAATAATAAATTGACAAAATGAACAGATTACAAGTCCAAGTGAAGCTTTAAATGTGAAGTACTTTTGTTTTACATCCAGAAACACAACAAGAACACAGCTGTCTGCACCTTCACCTGCAGGTCTCATACACACACTGATCACATATATGCACATGTTAAACACTCTTTGTCATAAATCACATTCAGACACAGTATTAAATAAATCTAATTCTCAAAACTGTTCCACTCCTGAAACTAATAAAATGTGTTTGTGTTCATTCATTTGAACCCTGACACGGAGAACAGGCAGAGGCAAGTTTGTGGACACTTTTTATTTTTTAATTTTCTTTTAGTTTCTTTTTACTCTTTAAATTACTAAATTACTAAAATGCAGTCATAAAGTTATAAGTAAGTTTACCCTGGATGGTGAAAGTGGCCTCTATCGACTGTTTATTCTTTGTTAGGTGTAGTTAAGAGTTTTGATGTATTAAACATCAAGACCCTCAAAACATTTGAAATCTTGGAATAACTGCATAGGAAGTTTTCAAATTAAAGTCTTGGAGCTCGACTGACTTCTTACAGAAACAGCGATGGACATTTTGTTTCCTTTGTCTGCTCCTCGTCTGCTTGTTGTGTTTGCTGGGAGCTTTGACACCAATAATAGTTACTCTCACAGATGCTCCAGCACACAAACACGTCATTCTGATGGGTTCAAACTGCTGTAGAAAAGTGATTAAAACCATTAGCAAGCACAAGAAGAGACATTTAGTATTTTCCTCCTGCCATAGAAATATTAATCAGCTGCTGATAATTTTCAAGGAGCCACGAATCACTGATTATATTCTAAAGGCTGCTGCACAAAGTCACTACATTGCTTCAAAATACAACAAACACGTTTCCATGAAGCTTTGTAAACAGTTAAAAACAGATTGATAGATGATCAGCCCAGAGACGTAATACTTACTCAGAGCAAATGGTCACAGCAGGCGAAAGCACTTCTTCCCACCACAGTGAAATCTTTCACTAAAAATACTTTATTTATCATTTTAACCGACAAACTTCACTAATGTAAAGTCATCACTGCAGAGTCTTTGAACATGAAGTTCAGTTCTGGTCAAATGTTCACTCAAATTCAGGAAGTGAGATGAAGTCCTCCTCCCTCCCTTCTCTTGTCTCTGTTTCCTTAAAAGTAGCTGTAACTGTTGTATTCAAAGAGATGAAAGCTGTTAACTTTGTCACTCAGTAACCACACAGTGAGCTACTTCCTGAGGCTCATGGGAAATGTTTTTGAGATCGAACAAACTTTGACCGACTTTAAAATGGCAGGTCGTTCAGACTGCAGCAGATAATCGTTCAGTTACAAGCACAGACTGAAACTCACTGAGATGAAACTGAAGAGACACTTTAACTCAAATCCAAAATCCATTTCCTATTTCTTGTAACTGTTGTATAGCTATGACAGGGAGAAACAGCTGAGGTATGCCAGGATTGGTATACAGTTGTAGCAGTAATTCTCTTCATGCTTTCCTTGCAGATGGTGGTTGGGTCATGGGTTCACCCATATGGAAAAGATATATATAAATCTTATAAAGTTTTTATCTGTCTTGTATGAAACTTGTATGAAAAGCATACAAGAGTGAAAACAGAAATAAGATCCCTTGAAAAATTATATAATGAAACTTGTATGTTTTGTATACTTACTAAAAAAAAATATGAAAGTAATGAGAAAGTGGCCACTTTTATGAGTAAATCATATATGTTTTTACTATTTCTTTTCCATATGTGCATAGTGGAGGGTCACATTTCATGTTGATAGAATTTGTTTTTATGCTGAGTTTGGTGTTTTTGTTTGTTTGTACTGCAGTTTGCTCACTAACAGGAGACTCCCAGTGCCTTAGCAGTGACTTGTTGGCTTTCTGTACTGTTTTATTATTTGCCCCTTTTTAATGGTGACTCATTGTGAGCATGTTGCTGCAGGTATTCTGAAGATAGGTGTGCACGTGTGTGAAATTCAACAGAACGCTCTGCTGTGCTGCTTTCATGTATAAGAGATTACGCCTCAGAAAAAATACAATACGTTTGAATAAATCTTTATTTGAACATTGTGAACACAACAAACACTAATAAACAACAAAACAAAACAATGAACCAACAGAATAGGAGTACAGATAACTTTAACTGTCATGAAATATAAGATCAGGTTTTCCCTGAGACAGTTCTAATTATGAGGTGATAAATGCCGGTTTTCAGGAAACATGTTCAACAAACTCAACGGCAAATCTGAGTTTTCAAGTCCCAAACAGCTGATCAGACGAAGTTCAACTGAGTGTACTCTGAGTTAAGTGTAGGGCTGTTCGATATAATGATATACATCGGATGATATGAAAACGTCTATGGTTTCATATCACGCTATCGCTTGTTTTGTAAAATAAACTGTTTATGATCAGTTTTTTTCATCATTTTGAAGCCACTGTTTTTACGCGTTGGTGTTAGCAACAATGACGGTGAACCCAGCGTGTGGCTCCGCCATCTGCTTGTTTATTTCCCACATAAACCTTTCACAATAAAACTGAAGATCCTGTTGAGATTTTTCAAAATGAACTGAAATGATGAGAAACAGAAAGATCAGTCAGAACAAATCCAGGACCTTATTTCTAAACGAGGCATGTAGCCTCGTTATGAAAAGTCTGACACAGACCAGAAAACTGTACCATGCAAATTATGCAGGAAACCGGTTCCCACCTCAGACTCAAACATGGAAAAGCTTGTCAACTACCAATGCAAGAATCATGTGAAAGAGTATGGAGAGAGTTTACAAATGAGAAGCAAAAAGAGCCAGGTGCTCAAAACAGGGTTCAGACACCTATCTCAGGGTCAAATTCAAGCACTTTTTAAACACTTTCAAGGTCCTTTTTCAAGCTTTTCCAACCCCCCACCGCCACTGCCCAAAAAAACCAAGAATGTGTGTTTCAATTCGCATCACCTCAATAAGACCATGTGAAAATTAAAACAAATCATCCTAGGTGATCTTAAACACCTTTGTTCCCCTTTTGTTAAGACATAGAAAAACGCACCACACAAAAATACTGCGAAAGGAAACGGTCGCCTTATATACATAGTGTATAAACTCAAAATGCACATTTGACTTAAAAATTAAGATGTGAAAATGTGAACAAATCAACTTGTTAGAGATAGTCTTCTCCTGTTGAAAAAAAAAAACCAAAAAAGAAATAAATAAGTCTTCTCATCAGATATTGATGCTTCTTTCCTGTGTGACAGAAAATAGGAGACAGATGTTTGTTTGTTTGTTTTCTAAGTTAATTGCCAATAAAACTGTTTTATTGCTGAAGTCCTAAATGATCACTTTTAAAGTGTTTGTGCCAATAACATCATGTACAGTCAGACAGGCATGGACAACAGCACTGACTGAGAGGCTTTGAACAGATCACATAGTTCAATTCAACATATAAGACTTTAAGAATGCACAAGCATCTACTTAAAATCTATTGAATTTATCATCTGTGGTGTTATTATGTACAATTCCAATGTATTTTGTTCATCTCCCTTAAATAAACAGGCAGCCTAAAGTATGAAATATTCATATACAAACACACATATAAATGTGTGAACTGTCTCTGTGACTGATTGTGCCCCACAGGCCTCAGTGTGAGCTTGAAGACATTTATAATGTTTAAGTAGTTTAATGTGTCGGTGCTGACGATAAACACATTTTGAATGAAAGCCGGGAACTTTGGTAGCACAGAAACAAGTGGCTATTCTTTGTGACCATATGGATCCGTCCCTCATATTACCATTATTTCACCCAAAGGCACCAAGTTAATACTCAAAAAAGCTGCAGCAATACACACAAATATAAACAGTACTTGGTGACAACTTTGCTTTTAGCCTCTAACCCTCTGGTGTCCAGGGTTTAATTGACCGTTTCTGACTACTTTTGATTTGGCCTCTATATTTCACCTTTAAAAACGGTTTATCCTGCCAATCTGTTATTTACTCATTTTGACATATTGTATCAGCACAATTTATCTAAATTCAGACAAAATTGAAAACATGAGTAGAAAGTGATATTTTTGACTGTAAAAACCACAAGCATGTTTAACGAATGATTTTCATAACTTGAAATGCAAATAGAAATTGTGCATTTTTAAAAAAAATATGCACAAGTTTTGCAAACAAAGTTTTATGGTTTACCTAAAAGTGCAGCCAAGGCTCAGACGTTTTTTATATAACCATTTAAAACTATTTACAGAACAATACGGTGCTCTGCATCAAATAAGAAGGCACAAAAAGGCAGCAACTGTAGGGTTGCCAACCGTCCCTTAAAAAATGGAATCGTCCTGTATTTAGAAACAAAAGTACATGTCCTGTGTACTTTTTTAGGGTACATGGGACTAAAAGTGTGTCCCTTATTAGCTCAATAAGTCCCGTATTGAGCTAATAAGGGACGCACTTTGTCCCGTAATACAGTGAGAATCAAAAGTAGTCTATAAATGTTAATGGAATTAACGCTTTGTTTGAAAACATAATTCCCAGCCCCTCTCCTGCTTTGTGACCAATGAGCTGACAGCACACTTATGACAATTCGAGTATGACAATTCAGATTACCGCTTATCTCATTGGAAAGGTCGCTTGCGGAGAAAATACCGGAAGACAACAGATGACCACAACAAGAAGCATGGCCAACAGGGAAACAAACGCCGTCACTGCGGTGCAAGTCTCGGACGACAGTACACCTAAAGCTGGGCAGACACTGTGCGATTTTTTCAGTCACGTTATTCAGCTCCTGCTCAAACTGCACGATTGACTCGCAGGGGTTAGAAATTGAGGGGTCATGATGCAGAGTCTCACACTATACCGCCCGATGCTCTAATGCGACCTGAGTGCTCACACTGTGCCTCCATAAAATGAAGGTTATAACAGAAAATCTGTCGCTCGCTCTCTGTGTGTCTTTCACTCACACAGACACACCACCACCATCAACTTTGCTAAATTGCTAATGAAAAACATTGATCAGGCAGCTGTGATTAAGCAGCAGTGTAGATCCAACTATTTTCACGGTTGTTGTGGTCGTGATAATTTTGTGATGCCACATCGAAAAGGCTCGGATGAGCTTTCCAAAGTTCTACAAGTTGTGCCTCCATCGCTTGTGTCCAGATCACACGCTGCACAGTCGTGCTGCTCAGTCTTTTTCACCGACGTTTACGTGTTTGCGCGTGAGCAGCTGCGGTGACACCCTCACGAGCAATTGATGATCGTGAGCTGGTCGTGAGGTGTTAATCGCTTCTCGTTACCCCACGTATACTACACGATGCACGATGAAGGCCAAAAGCGGGCCGATCACCAAATCGGTCGCACGACTCAAAAATCGGCTCAAAATGGGCCAAAAATCGCACAGTGTGAGCCCAGCGTTAGAGCAGCAATGTTTGTTCGCTCAGAGAAAGAAAAAAAAAAGGCTGGAAAAGTACAGGGAGGAATGGGAAAAGGAAAACACCTGGCTGGAAAAGTGCACGATAACACCTTTAAAGCGCACTGCACTGTGTGCCGGCGCACTTTTTCCATAGGCATGCTTCTAGTGGTGGGCACATGAAGAACACGAGGGGCATGAAAGCTCGGGGAACCCTTTACCAATTTTTTGTCCGCCAGGCCACGGCAGAAGCAGATATGGTATGTAAACACTGGTTTGTTTTTTTTAAACCCTCTGGTTAAGGTTAATATGGGCATGTGCAGTGAATATCAGCGCTATGTGGCCAGAAGTGTGATAATATAACTTATTTTGTGTAATAAACAACTGCAAGGATAGATGATTACAACAAATAGATGACTAATACATAAAAGTAATACATAGATGAATAATGATGATGAGTTATGATGCGTAATCATGGTAACAAGCGGGTTTACAAACAGGAGCAGCTGATTAGCATTAGAAAAGCTGAAATAATACCTCAGCTGAAGCCAATTGTACTAAATGCACTATATGTGCACTGTTACAAGAATATTTTTCTTTCTATTATTTTCTATTATTTTAAGTTAAGCAGGACAGAGTTATTTTAAAGAAAAATTTACTTATATTCTCAAAAGTTAAGCATGACAGGCTTCTGTTTAAGAAAGAGACCTGTTTTATTGTGTTAATGTTGTCATTTTGAAAATAAATGGCTAAATGATCATTTGTTTCCCATATGGTCATATCACAAAGAATATGCATCTGCTTAAATCAACTTCAAGTCAAATGGTTAAAAAATAATTTCACACACAAAAAAAAGAGCTACCACACTGGGAAGGGTGAAGACAACTGGGTTGCCCGGCCCTGGCCACGAGGTGTCCCTTATTTATTTTTCAGGGAGTTGGCAACCCTAAGCAACTGTGACGTTCACTAGTAGAACTGACAAACACAACAAAACAACGACTACACTACACACTAACTACCAGTTATGGGAATAACGGCGTTACAAGTAACGGCGTTAATTTTTTCAGTAACGAGTAATCTAAATAATTACTATTCCTATCGTTACAACGCCGTTACAGTTACTAACAAGAAAATGCAGCCTGTTGAAGCTGTGTTCAGCTTACCGCATCTTATATCAGTTGCACGGAAGTAGCTGTAAGTAATCTGGACGCTACAGCTGTAATCACGATCACTGTCTAGCACAACACCTGGAGCTAAGGGGACAAAACAATTGCATGAGTGCTGCTGTTTGACTGAGGAAGAATAAAGTGGTGGTGGTAAGCCAATCACACGACCACTTAAAGACAAAGCAACAAGGTGATAAATACCAGTTTTTAAATTGTGTTGATAGGCCACGTAAACCAGAGTCATGATAAACAATATATACACGGCGTTTATACGGCGATTTTTCCCCAGCGTTTCGTCACGTTAGCGCTAGCAAGCACTCTCTGCTTATGAGCAAAAAAACCAAACAAACAAAAGAACCGGGGACGTTTTAGGAGTGACGACGAGAGAGAGAGAGAGTTTTGAGATGTGAGAGATTTATGATGTTTAGCGTGTTTGGAGTGTGTAGTTAATGTGTTGTCTTGTGTAGTTAGTGTGTAGTGTTGTGTGCCAGAACAATGAGGCGACTGCTGTCTCCAGGTAGAAACAGGAGTGATACACCTGCTGCTGTCAGACCTGCAGGTATCAGGCTGTGATGTTCTCCTTTATAGTGGACAGAAATTATTGTTTTGGAGTTGCACAAATAATTTGTGTGGCATCTTATTGAATGAAGAACAGCTGATTGTTCTGTAAATAGTTTGAAAGGGTTATTTAAGAAATCAAGGTAAAAGGTAAATGGCTGCAAATAACTTTGTTTGCGAAACTTGTGCAAAATTGACAATGTATATTTGCAAGTTATGAAATATGATTCAATAAACATGTTTGTGGTTGTTACAGTAAAAAATATAACTTTCTACTAGGATTTTATGTTTTTTGTCTGATTTGAGATCAATTGTGTTAATACAGTATGACAAAATGAAAACATAACTGTAAATTCAGACATGCGAGGTTGTGCTAAAAAAGATGATACCAAACAAGGCAAAGTAAATAGTTTTTATAGGTAAAATGTGGAGGAAACATCAAAAGTAGTTAAAAATAGTTAAAAAAAAATTTTGCTTCTACATTTTGTGACTCATTTTATTTCTCTGATACGAAAACTATTCAGTCAGGTAGTTATTTGTGGTGAATGAAATACAGTTACTTTCAAGCACTTTTAAGCACCACATCTGAAATTCAAGCACTTTTCAAACCTTGAAAAGACAACATTAAAATTCAAGCATTCAAGGATTTCAAGCACTCGTACAAACCCTGACAAAATAAACCTTAGACTCAAACGTTAGAACAGGCCTTTACCTTTTCTTTTTTCTTTCTTTAAAGCCACCTACTATCTGTCACATTGTAAAATCATAAAGTTGTCCAAAAAAAAGAACAGGCTTTTCTCAGCAGCACGCTATGTAGCAAATATTGAAAAAAAGAAAATAGAGGCCGTTACAAATTATATCTGAATTTATATAGTTTAATTCATTTGTCAAAACACTCAACATAAGGTACACAATGCCCAGCTGAAAACACACGAGTTGCCCAAGATTCACATAATTTATAGTAAATGTAAATTTTTTGTGATATATATCGTTGTCGGGACGATAAATGTCTTATATGGGTATCTGAGATTTTGGTCACATCGCACAGCCCTAGTTAAGTGTGTGGTTGAGTAAAGAAAGGAAGCCAACATGATATCGGAGCCTTCATTTTAATCCAATGAACAGAAGAACACAGTGCTGACAATTTTGAAAAAAAAAAAAAAAAAAAATAGGGGGTAAGTCACAGCCGTCCCACATTTTCTAAGCATGAAACTTTAACCAGTATGAATTCTCATCATGTGCTTCTTTAAGTTTGCGCTCTGATTGAACTTTTTTCCACAGCTGTTACAGCAATATGGTTTCTCACCTGTGTGGATTACTAAGTGACGGTCCAGTGCAGTTTTATCTGCAAATGGTTTCTCACAGTTTAAACAAACATACGGCTTCTCACCTGTGTGACATCTTATATGACGCTCCAGTGCTGCTTTCAAGAGAAAACCTTTCCCACAGGCGCTACAAGAATACCTCTTCTCCCCTGTGTGACGTCTTATGTGAGTTTTCAATCCTGTTTTCTGATTGAATCGTTTCCCACAGATGCTACAAGAATATGGTTTCTCACCCGTGTGAAGTCTCATATGTGTAGGCATGTAGGCTTTAGAGTGCATTTTTTTTCCACAGATGCTACAAGAATACATCTTCTGACCTAGATAACTTGTTAAATGATGATCCAATGCAGATTTCTGATCAAATCTTTTCCCACACGTGCTACAAGAATACATTTTCTCACTTGCGTGAATTTCTAAATGTGCAGCGAGGCAGGATATAAACTCGAAAGTTTTGCCACAAGTTTCACATTTTAGGGACATTTTCCTTTCAGTTTTACGTTGGCTCTCTTTGCCTACTCTTTTACTGTGACGTCTCTTTCTGTAACGTCTCCTTTTCTTCAGCTCTTCATTTCTAGTTGATCCTGAGTCCACATGCTGGCTTTCTTCATGATCTCGGCTCTCTGGTTCAGGAGAGCTGTGAGAAAGGAGCTGCTCACTGTTTGGTTCTGGCTCACTGTGGGAACTTTCCTCATAAGATTGAGTCACCATGAAGGTATCAGCCTCCTGCTTCAGTCCAAGTTGCTCTTCCTCCTGACTGCTGCAATGTTCCTCCTGTTCCTCCTTAATCTGTGGAGGCTCTGGGTCCTCCTCGTCCAGGCTGGAGTTTCTCTCTTGGGTACAGACTTGCTGGTCTGCAAGAACCTCCTCCTCACAGACATCCTCCTGTAGGAAGTCTGAGAGGAAAAACAAACTTTTGAGGAAATATATTATAAGATAATGCAGGAAGGTATACATACACACAACAGTGATAAAGAAAACAAAAAACAAAGGCACAAGTAAGATTGACACTGTCAAAGAGAGTACAAAAACAATGCTCGGTTTTCCATCTAGCTTCACCTTCCAGACCTCCTGCCTCCATCATCCCTGGATCACCCAGGATGGACTCACTGCTCTCGCTCATGCCATCAGGATATTCACCCGGACCTCTCTGACCACAGTTTTAAATGTTCAACTTTTTTTTTTTTTAAACTGCTGTCCAACATTAATTTGTAAATGATTTACTAGCAATCTTGTCAAAACAAAGTTCTTTACTTGGAGCACAGTTCTACAAGAAAGGCAGTGGGGAGAGGGGACACTTGGGCAGTACATTTATCACGGCATATAATGTCCGTATCAGAGCACTGGCTATGAATTTCAGACGGATGAGGCCTTAACTTAGCAAAAAAGTTATCAATTGTTCTTTTCATCTTTTCTCATTACCCACAGCTACATCCACTTCTGTTAGGCCTAGGCTACTCACTAGGGCTGTGTATCGTCACTGATTTCTATAATCCATTTCTTTCATTTCTGATCATGTGAGACTTCGTCAGAGGTGTGAGCATCACAGCAGATGCCTTTGAGTCAAAGTAACTGAGAATAAAACACAGAAAAACATGAAGATTTTCCTGACCTGGCTTTTTATAGGCGATAACCGCCTGAAAAATATTCTGCAGTAGATCAAAAACTGAAGAAAACCATTAATCAACATACAGTGGGGCAAAAAAGTATTTAGTCAGCCACCGATTGTGCAAGTTCCCCCGCTTAAAATGATGACAGAGGTCAGTAATTTGCACCAGAGGTACACTTCAACTGTGAGAGACAGAATGTGAAAAAAAAAAAAATCCATGAATCCACATGGTAGGATTTGTAAAGAATTTATTCGTAAATCAGGGTGGAAAATAAGTATTGATATCATGATAATGTTTATTAAATGTGAAATGTAATTTTGATCTTTTGCTGCTGGTTCAGTCAGAAACCTGCAGCAAACAAACAAACAAACAAACAAACAAAGACAAATACGTAAACACGGAGACGCAGAATGTCGGCGTGCCCATGTATGTCATGTCGGATAAGAAAGCCGACATCTCACTGATTCTGATGTGTACGTGGGTCTGCGCTCTGTGTTTAAGTCTTTGTGCAGAATCAGGGCACCTGCTTTCATTCACTGATTCAGCTGTTTGGTTTAACCAGCTTTAACCTGAGATTGTGCCATTTTTGGCTAAAAACATTTATACTCGATTCAGGATTTAGTTAATCGATATGCTTTTATTCACTTTCAAACACAGACGTGAAGGGCTACAGGAATATCTGGACCACGGCCAATGGGAGAGGTCCCACGGTTTAGACCACGATATGGGCATAATGTGTGTCTGTTGTTGACCACACAGAGACTTTCACAGTTGCTGAGACTTTTTTTCTTTTGTACTGAACAGCTGGTTGCACTGGTGCGACCGAATTTTTTTAAGTCACACCACTGAGAAATTTGGTCGCACTCTAGAGCCCTGGTTTTACATACCTATTCTGTGTAACTTTATCACAGGTTTGCAGATGGTCTCCATCAGTGTGAGTCGCTCTTCATCAGTCCAGACGATAATGCCTTCAGCCTCCTGCTTCAGTCCAAGCTGCTCTCCCTCCTGAATGCTGCAGAGCTCCTCCTGTTCCTCTTTAATCTGTGGAGGCTCTGGGTCCTCCTGGTCCAGACTGGAGTTCCTCTCCTGGTTACAGACCTGCAGCTCATCCAGACCCTCCTCTTCCTGCACAATAACTGCTTTTAAGGGTTTTAAATACATTCTTTTAACTCTGGACTCGGGCAGCCCTGCTGCCCTCTTGTTGTTGGACCTGACAGAAGCTTTTAACACAGTTGAGCATGATATCGTGTTATCCTGGAATCATATGCTGGCTAAAAGGGTCTGCTCTTCAGTGGTTTTGGCCCTACTTATCTGGAAGCACTTTTTATGTCAACATGGACCCTTACAGCTCCAAAATAGCCCCTCTTAATTATAATGTACCTCATAGTGATGGGTCGTTCGCGAACGAAATGGCTCTTAGAGCCGGCTCTTTGAAGTGAACGACGCGAGCCGGCTCCTTATCGCGAGCCGTCACGCGTTTTTTTTTTCCCCCCTCTTTTCTTTCTCTCAGCCTCTCTCTCGCACTTTTTTCCGCTTCACTCTGCACGCGAGTCTTGTGCTTTATGCTGGGCAGAGGGGGAGGGCGGTAGTTACACTAAGTAGCACAGGAACGGATCCAGAGGGAGAGAGAGAGAAAGAGAGCCAGGGACAACAACGTCACATACATAAGGTATAGTAATCATCCACAACTATTTTCGGTTGCAGATGATAAAGGATTCAGAAAGTTTATTCATGCAGGCCCATATGACAGATAATGTGCATGTTTCTTTTTGTTGTCATATTATAATTTATATTTAATTGTGTTGTGGTTTGCAGTGTTTTGTGTTGTTTCACTTTAAATTTGTAAAAGGAAAAAGCGGAAAATTTAAATAGTTAAAAGTTGAAATGTGAACAGTTGATTTTTGTATTATATGATTTATTTATTACATTTTTTGTGGAGTGAATAAATAAAAGTATATTTACGGTGGCCCCTAGAGACAAAGCACGTACAAACTCCAAAACACGTAAAAACTCAGAAGCACATAAAAACTCAAACACGTAAAAACTCAGAAGCACATAAAAACTCAAAACACGTAAAAACTCAGAAGCACATAAAAACTCAAAACACGTACAAAAGACAACAGAAGTGCTCCAGGATGCTGGGCGCAATGTTGAGCCTTTGTTATCTTGTGGCTACACAAGCCAGCAAGTACCAACGACCAGATTTGGTGTGTGGTAGTAACAGGTAAATGAACTTTTTTTTAAAATTATTTGAATATATATATGAGTGCCTGTGTATAAATACACAAACAATACACACATGCTTTCAATTGTGTAATTTAAGTGATCTAGTAGCTCTGCTTTGGAAGTTCAGTTCATGCTAGAAATGTGTTTTATATTTATATATAAACATATATAAATAAAACCACTTTTTTTACGTTAGTAATTCCTTTTGTGCACAATTTCATATTATTGTTAATAATAAATTAATTAAAGCAACAAAACAACCTGAAGAGCTGGTTCGGAGCCGAAAGAGCCGGCTCTTTTTAGTGAGCCGAACCGAAAGAGCCGGATCTCTAAAAAGAGCCGGAAATCCCATCACTAGTACCTCAAAGCTCTATTTTTGGTCCTGCCTTGTTTGCACTGTATATGTTGCCACTGGGGTCTATTTTCTTCCTCCCTGGGACGTCTGCAAGTTGTTCAAAATGCTGCACCAAGGCTTCTGACCAAATCCACTAAGTATTCACATGTGGCAGTGTTGCTAATACAGCAGCACTGGCTCCCAATTCAATTAAGAATCAATTTTAAGATTCTGGTTCTGACTTTTAGAGCTCTTCGTGGACAAGCACCAGCTTACATTATTGAACTTCTACAGCCTTTTGTCCCTAGCACAGGGGTGGGCAACTCCAGGCCTCGAGGGCCGGCATCCCTGCAGGTTTTAGATGTGTCCTTGAACCAGCACAGCTGATTTAAATGGCTAAATTAGCTCCTCAACATGTTCTGAAGTTCCCCAGAGGCCTGGTAACGAACTAATCATGCGATTCAGGTGTGTTGACCCAAGGTGAGATCTGAAACCTGCAGGACACTGGCCCTCAGGGCCTGGAATTGCCCACCCCTGTCCTAGCAGGGGCCATATGTTTAGGGCCTGCTTGTTATACAACATGCAAGGCTAAGAACTAAGGGAGACAGAGGTTTTGCCAGTGTGGCCACAGACTGTGGAACTCTCTCCCTCTGAGCTTAAGATCTGTGGAGTCAGTAGTCTCTTTTTTAAAAACTAAAAACACATTTTAGAATTGCTATTGGTTAATTTAGTCTGTTTTGTTTTATGCCTTGTTATTTAAGACAAAAGCACTTTGATCTTTTGTCTACTTGAAAGGTGCTATATACACAATTCTTTGAAAGTCATTTTTTCAAATGACTTGAAGATTTATCTGCCTATCTATCTGCAGAGGAGCTCGAGAAACTTCCAGTATAACTTAAATCTCACGTGTGGGAGCATTTATAATATACTTACATAAAGCTACTTGACACAACTGTTATGATTTGGCGCTGTATAAATAAAACTGGATGAAGGCAACACAGCCTGTTAAGAATGTCTGAGCCTATCACCTTTAATAACAGATGCCATTAAAACAGTTTTCCATTCAAAATAGAGATTTTTCTTTTCCTCTGAATTCATCACCAAAGTAACAGCTTCCTGCTCTCAGCTAACATCGGCTTAGAGACATCGTGGAACAACATGTCCATAAGATAAGATAAGATAACCTTTATTAGTCCCACACGTGGGAAATTTGTTTTGTCACAGCAGGAAGTAGACAGTGCAAAAGTTATGACGCAAAAATTAGAATACAATAAGAGTCTAATTACTAATACGTTAGTTATAAAAAAATTACGAGAAAAAAGATAAGAAAGAAACTCAGAATGAGCAGAGCTGCTGTAACATACCTATGATGTGTGAGTTTGTCGGGTTTCCGGCTGATATCCAGCAGTCTGTGCTGACGGTTGATCTCCTCCTCATACTGGACGATGGTTTTTTTTGAACCTCTGAAAAGATTTCTTCACAAACAGCAGTTAGTCTCTTCTTGATGAACTCTCTCAGATACTGAGCTGAACTCATTGCTGCTTCAACTCAGGCTGAGCGGATCGATACAAGCATCGATAGGTTGTGCCATCAGATCCACACTTGCGTTGCTGTCTCTTCTGTGTCGAGGGTTCTAAATGTGAGCCGACTAACCCGAAACCAGGAAGATTTTTGTGAAGAGCTCTTGTGGCGCTTGTTGATGACGTCGTCCCGATTCCCCAAACGGAAGCTGCGTTCATGTCCCAGTGTAAAACTAGGACTTGTGACCTTCCTCCGTATACCTGCTTTTATCCAAATAAAATGGATCGTGTTTTTAAACAAACTTGTTGAACTTGAAGAGTTTTCTTCTTCTTCGGCCATGTTCTCTTAATAATGCACACACTTGGTGGTTGATTACTTTTCCCGTTTCTTTTATTGTTAGTAACACAAGAGGGAAAACCATACATTACTTCAGCAGTTCGCGCTTTGGAACAACAGGAACAGGAAGTGATCTATAATCACCAAAATAAAATCCTTTTCAAAATAAAATGACAATCAGAAAACTTCTTTCACAACATAAAATAAATTAATATATTTAGGCAAGGCAAGGCAAGTTTATTTGTATAGCACAATTCAACAACAAGGTGATTCAAAGTGCTTTACAGAGACATTAGAAACAAAAACAAATAAAAAGCATGATTTAAAACTGATTAAAACAAGCAAAAAAACTAACCAACTGAACACACACATTTCACACCTGTTCGTGCGATCTGAACCCTTATCGTAAGGGGAGCTACCAGTCCTTCTGTGGACGAGCTACTTTCTATTTTAAATTCCCTGAATTTAAAATACTTTCTAGACCCAGTCTAGACCCAGTTGGGGAGCTACCCAAAGCTCTAAACCCACTTAACAAACAAACAAACAAACAAAACAGTATATAAAATCAAAACAGATAAAATCAGAAATAGATAAGATCAGTAGTTAGTGTAAGTTTTGAAATTTAAGCTTAACAAACAAACAAAACAGTATATAAAATCAAAACAGATAAAATCAGAAATAGATAAGATCAGTAGTTAGTGTAAGTTTTGAAATTTAAGCTTAAAAGTGTGGATTTGGTGCTTTATTCAAATGCAGCTGAGAATAGGTGAGTCTTCAACCTGGATTTAAATAAACTGAGTGTTTCAGCTGATCTGAGGCTTTCTGGGAGTTTGTTCCAGATATAAGGAGCATAAAAGCTGAATGCAGCTTCTCCGTGTCTGGTTCTGACTCTGGGAACTGATAAAAGACCGGATCCAGATGACCTGAGGGATCTGGAAGGTTCATACTGGGTCAGGAGGTCACTGATGTATTTTGGTCCTAAACCATTCAGAGCTTTATAGGCCAGCATCAGAACTTTAAAGTCTATCCTCTGACGGACAGGCAGCCAGTGTAAAGACCTCAGAGCTGGACTGATGTGGTCCACTTTTTTGGTCTTAGTGAGGACTCGAGCAGCAGAGCTCTGAATGAGCTGTAGTTGTCTGACTGATTTTTTAGGTAGGCCTGTAAAGATGCTGTTACAGTAATCAAGCCTACTAAAGATGAATGCATGGACTAGTTTTTCCAGGTCCTGTTGAGACATCAGATCTTTTATCCTTGAAATATTCTTGAGGTGATAGTAAGCTGATTTTGTTATTGTCTTAATGTGTGTTTTTTCTAAGTTTAGTCATTTAGTCATGAGAACACAAATCTAACACCCCCCCTTGTTCTCATGCTGTTAACCCATAGCATCTTGTGCGTTTCCAAAGAACCATTTTGAAACCCTCTGAGTCTCACTCTTGTAACTGGTTTTGTTAGTATGTCTGCAGCCATTTCTTCTGATGGACAGTGTTCAATGCAGATTTTCCTTTCATTTACTGCTTCACGAATGAAGTGATATTTCACATCAATATGCTTTGACCTCTGTCTGTTCACTGGGTTTTTACTCAACTCAATGGCCCCTTGGTTGTCCCCAAACAGTTTAGTACATGTGTACCTTTTTCTGTCCATGCCGTTTAACAGTTGGGTTAAGTACATGCTTTCCTGAGTAGTGGTTGCAAGACCAATGTATTCAGCTTCACATGTTGAGAGTGCCACTGTAGGCTGTTTCTTTGTTTTCCAAGATATTACTGGTCCCTCTTTAGTAAGTGCAAAACAGTAGCCTGTTGTACTGCGTCTGTCTTTTACAGAGGATGCCCAGTCAGAGTCACTGTAAGCAATTAGATCTAGATTCTCACTGCTTTTCTTAAAGATCAGTTCAAAGTCATTTGTGCCTTTTAGGTATCTGAGGACTTGTTTTGCCATTACTAAGTCCTCTCTCGTGGGTTGAGCTAGTGTTTGAGATAGTCTGCTAACAACCCAACTTATATCTGGTCTCGTACATGTCATGGCATATATCAAACTGCCCACTATTTCTCTGTACTCTCTTGAGTTAACAGTCTCATTTGCATCACTTCCTCCACATGTAGTAGTGTCTGTTTTTAGTTCACACGGTGTGGATCTGGGTTTGCATTCAGACATCCCAAAGCGTTCCAACATTCTTTGAATGTACCTCTTCTGATTCATCCCGATTTCACTCTCTTTTGTATAAACTGTATCCCAAGAAAACTAGATATTTTCCCCAGGTCTTTCATGTTAAACTTTGACCTCATTGTTTCTTTGAATGTGTTTAACAAGTTAGTATTGCTAGCCGCAATGATCAAGTAATCTACCCAGATGATAACCAGTAGGGTTTCATGTCCAATGTCCTTTCTGTATACACAGTGATCAGAAAGGTTTCTTTCAAAGTCATTTTGTTCAAGGTAGTCATTCAAGAGTTTGTACCAGTTTCTACCTGATTGTTTTAACCCGTAAAGGGATTTCTTTAATTTGTACACCAAGTTTTCTCCTGACTCTGTTTGCTCAAAACCTTCTGGTTGTTCCATGTATATTTCTTCCTCAATGGGAGCATGCAAATATGCAGTTTTAACATCCATTTGGTGGATAATAAGATCATTCTGGACTGCTATTTGCATTAGTGTTCGCACAGATGTCATGTTTGCTGTTGGTGCAAATGTCTCTTGGTAATCTATTCCTTGTGTCTGGTTGTAACCTTTTGCTACAAACCTGGCTTTGAATATTTGTCCTCTTTTTCTAGTAAAAGGCACCTCCCCATTTCAAAGAGAGTTCTCCATTGCCTCTCAGTTGTGCCATTCTGATGGGGAGGATATGGCGCAGATGTCTCATGCTTTATACCCTTTTCCCTTAAAAGAGACTGGAAGGAACTGCTTGTGAACTCTGTGCCATTATCCGATCTAATGCACTTAACACTGCCGTATGGTGCACAGTCAGCTAGAAACTTTGCTGTGGCCTCTGTGGTGTCACTTTTCTGTTTTAGAAAGTAAACTGACACTGCCCCTGAAAAATCATCCGTAAATAATATAGCGTATTTATGACCACTTTGGCCACTTGGTTCAATGGGGCCGGCTAGATCAGTATGCACCAACTGTAATGGCTCACTCGCTTTTGGATCGCTTTGTCTGTTTCTGTTGTTAGTGAATTTCCCTTCTGTGCACACATTACAATCTAGCATCCCACTGCCTGTGATTTTCATGCCATCTACAACATCGGGTAGCTTTAACACATCACTAACATTACAATGTCCTAAAATTTCGTGCCATGTTTTCACATCACAAGCCAGATTAACAGTGTCACAGGACATCATGTCATTGTATGATGTTTCATTGTTTACCGTTTTCAAATAGTAGAGTCTGTTGTATTCTTCGATGGAGAAGACTGTCCCATCTTTGTTCACCAGTTCATTCTGTCCCTTCTTGAAGATCACCTGTGCTCCATAGTTTGTAGCTGCCTTCACTGAAAATATGCTCTGAGGGTAGGATGGGATGAACAGGGCGTCTCTCAGTGTGATGGTGGTACAGTGTCCTTGTATGTCCCGTAGAGAGACGTTGGCATCTCCCCTCTTGAGTGCGACGTTGTTTGTCCTGGATCCATCAGCGAGCTCCATGTAGTGTTTCTCAGGATCAAAAGTCTCATCAAACTTCATGAACTTGTTCTTCTCCGTAATGATGTGTGAAGTCGCACCACAGTCCACCATTAGTCCTTCTCTCATTATGTCAGTAGGCAGAAGTCTTTGACTAACTTTAAATACAAAAGTCTGCTCTTCTTTCTTGCCCTCTAGTTTTACTACAGTTAGTTTTGCGTCATCTCTGTACTTGGTTTTTCTTCTACATGTCTCATCACTGTGTGTCGAGCTTCTATGGTAGCTACACCACTTAGGTGTTCCCTTTTGGCGACAATCTTTTACAAAATGTCCTTTGTTTCCGCATCCATGGCAGGTGATTGATGTTAAATCAACCTTCATCACATTATCCGCTTTTACTTTGTTGTCAAATTTCTCGATTTCCTCATAACTTCGTAGGTTGCTTTTGAACTGTGTGAATGTTAAATCTTCACTGCTTTGAGTTGTGTGAATAGCAAATGGCTTGTAAGCTTCAGGAAGCCCCTTTAGAATCATAGCGATAATAAGTCCATCACTGATGACTTCTTTTGCATTTCTTAGGGAGGTCACTGCTTTTTCAGCTCGGATAATATAATCTGTCACTGTCTCATCTGGTTTCTTCTGTAAAGACGTCAGCTCTGTGTACAGTGCGATGATTCTGGGCTTGCCTTTACTATCGTAGTGGTCACGTAGTATTTTTAAAGCTTTTCTTCCATCGTCAGTCGCATCTCTCATTACCAGTGCAAGGCTTTTATCATCAAGAAACTGTATCAGTTCAGCGTAGCATTCAGCGTTCTTCTCTGCATCTGGGTTAGTGGCTGATAATATAGTGTCCTTTAGACCAATGATCCGCATGTGGCCGAGAAACTTTGCCTCCCAAAGTTCGTAACTGTTTTCGTCTCCGTTGAACACTAACCTCTGCCATCTTCCTCCTGTTGTGTCACGCCTGGGCCCATAACCTGTTGAACTTGAAGAGTTTTCTTCTTCTTCGGCCATGTTCTCTTAATAATGCACACACTTGGTGGTTGATTACTTTTCCCGTTTCTTTTATTGTTAGTAACACAGGAGGGAAAACCATACATTACTTCAGCAGTTCGCGCTTTGGAACAACAGGAACAGGAAGTGAAGTAATCTATAATCACCAAAATAAAATCCTTTTCAAAATAAAATGACAATCAGAAAACTTCTTTCACAACATAAAATAAATTAATATATTTAGTCATGAGAACACAAATCTAACAAAACTA